TAGTTAGAAGGTTAGTATAGTAGGTATAGTAAGTATAATAGTATAGTTCTTTATTATTATTATTATTATCCTTACGGCAGATAGTCTTTAATAGCTTCTTAATAAGAGGTACTTCCTTAAAGTTACTATTAGTATTAGTATAAACTAACTATATAGGTAATATAGCTACCTTATTAGAGGTAACTAGTAAGGCCTATTAAGAGGCCTTATTCTTACTACGTTAAGAGCGCCTAACGCCCTCTATAGGAGAGGCTAACTAAGTAGCTAAAGGCTTAGTAATACTACGAGAGTAGTAAGAAATAAGAATTTAACTAGCTTTAGCGCTAGCGCAAGTATCTCTACTAGTAGAGGCTTTAAGGGACTTATAAGAGTAAGCTATTATTAATACTAATATTAGTACTAATATTATTATTACTACTACTATAGTAGTAGTAGTTATTATAAAAAAGGAGTATATATAGTAAAAGATAAGTTTTAAAAGCTAAGAAGTAAAGTAAAGTAAATAAACTATAATTAATATATAATAGTCTAAGAAAGTAGAAGTTTTGCTACTATACTACTATAGGTACTATAATAAAGAATATAATAACTTTTATTACTATTTAAGTAATAATATTAAGTAAAATAAAAAAAAAGTAAAAAGATAGTTTAAAAGGGAATTAAACCCCTAACCTCTTATAATATATTTACTAAGTACTAACTTATAAGTTATAATCCTTATAAGAAGTAGTACCTAGTACTATAGTAATAAAGTATAAGTATACTACTACTAAGCTACTAAACTATAGATATTAGTATAGTAACTAAGTAAGTATATATAGGTATAACCTTATAAAATAGTTAGAATATACTAACTAAGAGTAATATTAAAAACTAAGACTAATATAAGAAATATTATAATAGTAGTAGTAGTAGTAGTAGTATAGTAGTAAATTAACTATATTTACTATTTTTACTAAGCTTATTAATAAGTAACTACCTATAGAGGTACTAATAGCTTATGCCTATATCTTTAAGGTCTTTACTACTATTACTAAGTAAGTTACTCCTATTAAGGAGATTACTCCTACTAAGAAGGTTACTCTTACTAAAGAGGCTACTACTACTAAGAAGACTATAGCTAAGAAAGGTCTTACTTATTAGTATGCTCTATCTATTATATAAATAAGCTATCTTTAGCTATAGGAGAAAGCTTTTTAAGTAGTAAAGGCTAGTAGCTTAGTATAATAGCTAGTTTAAATATAAATAAGAGTTTATATATAGGGGGTAGATTAAGCTTATATAGTCGCTTAGAAGCATAGCAAAATCTCTTTACTAGATAATGCTTAATATTCTAAGTAGCTTATAATAATATAGAGATTATTAGTAAACGTAATTAAGAAAGTAGAGAGAAGAGAGGAAAGAAAGATAAGTTAATATTAATAGGTTCTTAGCCTTAAAGTTAAGTAAGTTAAGCTCTATATTTATTAATATTTACTAGTCTCTAGTAAAATTATTAGTATTTTACTACTTATGCTACTACTTTACTACGACTAAGAAGCTATACTAATATAAAATTATCTAGTAAGAGGGGTTCTTACTTAGAAGACTATCTCTAGCTTTATAAGGGAAATACCTTATAGCATAGCTTAATAATAGTAATCTTACTACTATTTTTAGCAAAGGGGGATAGTATAGTAGTAATAGATTCGTACTAAAAAGCTTATAGGTAGACTATTATTAGCTAGTTAGTAGTAGGCTAGTTATTATAACCTTTAATAGTAAAATTAGTAACTAAGAAGAGGTCCTTAAGTATAATATTAGTATAAGGATAGATATTAAGAGCCTACTAAAGAAGGAAGCCTTAGTAATAGTAAACTAGTATAGCTAGTATCTTTTTATTAAGCTTTACCTTATTATAAGCCTACTTCTATCGAGTTAGTAGATCTAGAGGTGCCTATAGCTTTAACCTACACTTATTATATATAGTTAAGATATTATATGCTTTAAAGGCTATATGCGTCTAGTCCTTTATAGCCTTTAGCTTTAGAGTAGTAGTTATAGAGGGTATATAGTAAGAAGGTCTAGTAATAGCCTAAGGTATCGATCTAGCATAAGTACTATAACTAGTATTAACTCTTATAAAACTAATAGCTAACTATCTAGCTTACTCTATACTAGTTAGAACCCTTCTTAGAAAGATCTATTAACCGTTAGCTTAACTATATATAATTATAGGGTAGCGAGTAGTAGTAGAGATAGGTATTAGCTTAGAGGCTAGCGTAAAAGCTACTAAAGTTCTAATACTTATTACTTATATGCTTTATAGTACTTACGACGACAAAGAGATATTCTTAACTTTAAGAGGAGGTGCTAGATTAATAAGGTTATAGACTAGATAGCGCTACTTATTATAGTACTTTAAGTATAGTTAACTATCTTTAAGATAGAAGCGGCTCTAATAGGATGCTATATTAACTATTAAGGAGTTAAAGGAAGAATAGAAGTTAAAGAAGTTAGCTAGTAAGAGTAGTAATTAAATAGCTTACTAATATTAAGTAATGTTTTATTATTCTTTAATATCTATTACCTATAGTATTAGTGTGTTTTACTATAGTAGTGCTACTAGTACTATAGTACATAAAGTATATAAATATTACCCTTAAATTCCTATTAAAATATCGAGAGAAAACTAAGTAGATTTATTAGTAGTAGTATAATAGTAGTATATATAGTAAATTACTTATAGATTAGATAGCTTTTTTTAAATAATATTAAACGGATTATAAGAATTATCATTAATGTAATTAGGTAGGATATTATGCATGCCTTAGAGCGCTTTAGTAAGCCCTATATGCTATAGCTACTAATTAGTAGTACTAAGTAGTTAGTTAGACTTGTAGAGCGTTAGATTAGTATTACCTATATACTTATAGTTAAAAATGGCCTAATAAAGATATAGGTATACTTATTTATATAGTTAGTAGTGCTCTCTATTAATAATAATAATCTAATTAACTTACTTAGCTTTAATAATGCTATAAGTACTAGGAAATTAGATAGCTAATTTAAATTAATACTACTTAAGTATATAAGCTAGAAGGTACTTATTACTATTAAACTCCTTAAGGTACTACTTCTATAGCTTAAGCTATTATATATCGATATCTAGTCCTTACTTAGATGCTTTAAAGAGCTTTAGCTAGCGATATAGTGCTTTAGGAGACTCTAGAATTATATAAGGATATGTGCTCTAAGTCCGGATTAGATAGCGATTCTATAAAGATGTAAATATAGAGCTAGCTTGTCGTATAATTAGTATATAGATAGTAAGGAAAGTAATCCTATTAAAGAGGTAGCGACTATTATATAGGATAGTCTTAAAGAATATAGTCTAAGTACTAATACTACTCGTAGTTATCTAAAACTACTAGGATTTAATATACTAGTTCTATTTACTAGTTCTATACTTAAAGTAGTTAGTAAATAATAGCTCCTAGCTACTAGCTTAGAGCTCTTAAAAGCTATAGTAAGTATTAGCCATTATTATAGTTTCTATACTATAGTCGGTATAAATAAATAGTAGTATATAGCTAAGCTCTTCTATAGTCCTAACATATTAATTAAGGACTAATACTACTAAGTAAGCAAAGATACTAGCATAGAACTATATAACTAACCTTAAGAAGTAGTTAATAGTAGCATATATTTAAATACCCTAATACTTAAGCTTATAGTATGCATCTATTAACTAGAGGTAGTTTAGGCCTAGTAAATTAGTCTTACTATAGTAGTTTTTAATCTTTCTTTAATATTAAGAAAGGCCTTTGCTATAGTCTTTATAGTTAAGAGAGTAAGTAATATAGTATAGACATTCTCTATTTAGTCTAGTTAGTATAATCTTAGATAATGTTTACTATAAGGCTACTATAGTACTACTACTAAGAATAGGAAGGAGTAAAGAAAAATACTAGTTATCTTATTTACTATAGAACTACTATAAGTACTATAACTTAAATAAACTTACTTACTAACTATATAGTACTTCTCTTATATATATAAGTATAATATTTCTTTTTTAAGGTTATTAATATCTCCTCTTCTATACTTATTAACTAAGGCCTCTTATATAGCTTACTTAAGCTACTTTATATAGTCTTATAGTATATATAAAGGTAGACTAAGCTCTACTTAGATCCGACGAATAGTCTATCTATAGATAGAACTATAGCCTTCTAGCTTAAGAATAGTAGCTATAGAGTTATTATTAAACTAGAACTCCTAGAATAGCTCTTTAATATATGCTCTAATAGTAGTAATAGTACTACGGTCTAGGCGAGTTCTAGCTATATTTTATTACTAAAGCCTTAATTATAGCGCGTACTTCTTAATAGCAACCCCTTAATCTACTAGCTCTTAAAGTACTCTAGTAAGTATTATTCTAGACTTAATCTACCTCTTAATATTACCTTTTTATAGCTTAAGGTTAATTAGTTTATATAGTATAGTAAAGTAGCAATAGTAAGATACTAGTAATAGCAAGGTATTAGTAATAGTAAGGTACTAGCTATAGTAAGGTGGTAGTAATAGTAATAGCAACGATATAGTAGTAATAGTAATAGTAAGGTAGAAGGAAGGCTTTAATATATTAATATTATAATAAAAGGTAAATAAGGCCATGGCTTTTGAATTTATATGGCAGCTACTAGTAAATTAGAAAGCTCTAGCTAGCTAACCTTAAAGATCAGAATACGACGTGCTAAAGCTCAGAATTCGTGGATAAATGCGCTGTGGACGCACTGACCGACCGTCCTTTGGTCGGACCCTTCGGTCAGGGAAAGAGCGACCCGACTCAGACCTCCCCACCTTCCTCTTTCGGATGACATGAGCTCGCCGCGCCCTTGGCCGCGCCGCCCTGCGGACAAAGACTCCTCCGAGATGCTTTTGAGTAATTCATATCGATCCTAGAACGAACGTCCTGTTAACGGTGACACTCATTCCAGACAACTGTGCTTTACGAAATGGGCGACGTCTCCTTGTGTCCACCTCTGACGCGCTCGTCGGTCCAAGAGGCGCACGCAGCAATCAAGCAGCACATCCATCGTACTCCTACAATCACATGTGACACCATCTCTCGTCTCGCCTCGACCCCTCAGGCTCCCGAATCGCTTCAAGGCACTCCTTTCGAAGGTCGCACCCCCGCGCAACCACGTATCAACCTCTTCTTCAAATGCGAGAATTACCAGAAGATTGGCGCTTTCAAGGCACGGGGTGCCTTCCATGCACTGAGTCGCTTGAGTAAAGAAGAGCTGAGTAAAGGCGTTGTCACACATAGCTCGGGAAACCATGCCCAAGCTCTCGCCCTGGCTGCCCGTACCTATGGCATTCCGGCCCACATTGTCATGCCTACCATCAGTACTCCATCCAAAATTGCTGGCACAAAAGGCTATGGAGCCAATGTCATCTTTTCTGGTTCCACTTCTGACGAAAGAGAGGCCGTCGTTGCAGATGTAATACGAGATACAGGTGCAATTCTTGTGCCACCCTACGATCACCCCAACATCATGCTTGGTCAAGGCACACTGGCACTTGAATTGGAGGAGCAAGCCAAAGAATTGGATGAACGAGGACTGGATGCTGTTGTAGCCCCTTGTGGTGGAGGCGGCATGCTCTCTGGTGTTGCCACAGCACTGTACGGTACTGGTATCCGTGTCTTTGGCTCTGAGCCCAGCTTTGAAGGTGCCGATGATGCAAAACGAGGTGTCGAGTCTGGTGTTCGTGTCGAAAAGGTTAAGACACTAACGATCGCTGATGGTCTAAGAACACCAGTCGGTCACATTCCGTGGACCATTATTAGCGACAAGGAGAAGGTCAAGGGTATGTACAGTGTCACTGAAGACCAGATAAAAGCTGCCATGCGTCTGCTCTTGGAAAGAGCCAAGGTCTTTGTTGAGCCCAGTGCTGCGGTGCCTCTTGCTGTTGCACTATACGATGAAGACTTCAGAAGCATGGTTGAGAAAGAAGGAGGTGAACAAGGCTGGAACATTGGTATTGTTCTTTCAGGAGGAAATACCACTGTCGAAGCTATTGCCAAACTCTTCCAGCCTGCTTCTGAACAGCAAGCTGAAAGGCAAGAGTCTAAGATTGGTATAAATGGCGAACGAGTTGCGGAGAACGTTGCAGGCTAGATCAACCAAAGCTTCTACACATGATCATACATATAATCGTAAACTGTAGCGAAGAGGAAGGGAACAGAACTGTATTCGAATCGTTCCAATACTCTAAAAGAATTGGAAGGACGAAGGCCTTAGCAATAGGCAGGTTTCGTCAAGAGAGGTCCAAATCGAGCAAGTGCGGAGGGGGCCGATTGACCCCTCCTCACGTTTTCCAACCCCTCGCTGTTATCGGTCACAGCTATCTTGCCAACTCGAGCCAAGCATGACCAGAACCGGATGTTGATCGCGGTGTATGTTTTGAGGATACCGTGTCATGTTACACATCTACATGGAGAAATGACTCTCTTTTGCTCTATACAAATGTATCTTTGACCGACTCATAATCATTGACCTCTCCATCAAGTACTATCTACAACCATGACACCTGACATCGAGTATTTTTTGTCTCTCGAGGCTGTTCGTGAGAGATCTCGAATCGTCTTTGAGGCTGCGAAGAAAGACGAGCTTTCTCATTTCGACTATCACGCTGACAAGTTGCCTGAAGCCGCGGCCTATGTAACTTCTGTGATTAATGTGAGTAGTTGCTTCTTCGAGATGCGTCTTCTCTATTCTCTCCCCGGATATCGGCCGTCGAAATATCATGCTCTTGACATGGCCTGTGGAATTATGGTCCATCTTCTGACAGCTTTGATAGCGTGATTTCGGCCCTGACAACTTCGAGTCCATCCCTCCACATGGCCGCTGGCAACACTTCAATGTCGGCGGAATCCCCAGAATCGATGACCTGAACCGCCAATGGAAGAATGAAGGCTGCAGTGCAAAACAACAGGCCCAAAGATTGATCGATCTGTTCGTCGTATCTGTTCTACTGGATGCTGGTGCAGGCGACAAGTGGAAATTCGTGGAACCTGGCTCTGGACAGGTTTACACCAGAAGCGAAGGCATTGCTGTGGCGAGTCTGTATATGTTTCTGGAAGGTACTTTTTCGACGACAGAAGGGTGTGACCATATGGTTGATGGTGAGCTTTGTTGCAGAAGCTTGGTATGCGAGAGACTGACTGTTTGTGATAGCCAAGGGACTTCAACGAATTGACGAAGAAACACTGGCCAAAGGCTTCCAAATCACACCGGATAATCCTATGATAGGTGTAGGACCTCGCGCCCAGTTACTTTCTCGTCTCGGCGACTCTTTACTCGAGCACTCTGACATCTTTGGTTCTGAAGGAAGACCTGGCAATCTCGTCGACTATGTCGCTCAAACAGCAGATCCTGGAAGTAGAGTGCTAGATTACCGCGTCTTCTGGAGGACGCTACAGAGACTACTGATCCCTATCTGGTCTAAAAATCGCACACAGATTGATGGCACACCCATTGGTGACGCATGGCCTTTGGTAGTTCTCGAAAGACAAAACGGTGGTCAAGAAATCACGCAGACCATCCAACCTTTCCACAAACTCACGCAGTGGCTTGCTTACTCGCTCATGGTACCTTTCGTCAACATCATGCGTTATTCCTGGCGTAACGCAGAGCTCGGCACTGGACTCCCCGAGTACCGCAACGGTGGCCTGTTCGTGGATCTCGGAGTCCTAACTCTCAAACCCGAGGCGCTGGAGCGCGGTCAACGCAACTCCAGACAAGATTTACCCATGTTCAAGGACAGCGGTGATGAGATAGTCGAGTGGAGAGCTTTGACAGTAGCTCTTTTGGACGAAGTATACGCTATCATCAAGAAAGACATGAATGAGCAGGGTATGCAATTCAGTATGGCACAAATGCTTGAAGCCGGTAGTTGGAAATCCGGACGAGAGTTGGCTGCACAGAGAAGGCCGGAGACAAAGTCTAGTCCAATCTTGATTGATGGGGATGGCACTTTGTTCTGATGACTAGGCGAAACATAAAATGCCAATAACAGCATAAATGCAAAGGAGGTTCTATGCTACATGCTTGTATCGTGCAGTATTGCGCCTCTTAAATAGACGTATGAACAAGTATGCAAATATGAACATGGCTAATAAGCCAACACCCAGAAGTAGTGGCTTGTCCTCATGGACTCTGTGTAATGATGTTGTGCCTGGCTGATGCTCAATCTTGGTTTCCGGGTGACTTGTTTCTTCGTCGATCGTTTTAGTAGCTTCATTCTCGTCGTTCTCCAGATCCGTTTCGGGAGACTCTTCCTCATTAGTCTTGCAGACACCATCTGCTGTGCAGAATGTTCCTACCCATCTTTGGGGAATTTCTGAGGTAGTGGGAATGGAGCGACCCATGACTTCGCCACCCATACCAACTGCCTCGACGTAGACAAATGCAGTGTACCCCTTGGTCATGTACATTGTTTCGAAATCTGTCTTCAACACATTCGCCAGCAATGAGAAGCTGCCAGAAGAATTTTTGGAAGCACCGTAAAGGTTCCACGAATGCACATCTGTAGCTCCATTCCAGCTCAGATAGTGAAAGGTATTTGCAGCTTCTGGTGTAGAACCGTAAACGATGGATTTCGTTACAGGAGGCAAGTGTGGTCGGCCAGTGAAATTGAACTTGTACGAGCGGTAGGTGCTCATCTTGCCATCCTGGAATTGAGCCTGCATGACTGGAGAGCCGTCTTCTGTGAGCTCGCTGATGAGACCACCGCTAGCCCATCCGATAAACACGTTATCGTTTGGAAGAGTTTGCATGTTACCTCGTGCGATCGAGATCTCGTGGTCTGGTCTGTCATAGCTGCGAAGCACACGAGTAGTCATTGGTTTGATTGAAGTGTTGAGTTCAACAACCACTGCACGACTCCAGTTTCCTGTTGTCTTGCTTTCCTCGTTGATGCCGACTCCAGCGTTGTCGAAGAACGAAATAACGGTTGTTGTCTGATCCTCGTATCTCAGTCTCGCATCGTGCTGCCAGGAGAAGTTGAATCCTCCTGAGTGGTCGATATCAGGGCTTTTCCCGCTGAGGGTCCACATGATGGCTCCATCTTTACCAGAAATCTTGTATATACTGCTGGCGTGTCGTGAAGACAGTAGGTAGTCACCATCTGCATTCTTGTCTATCGAGTTCGCATGGCTATGATGTGGTTCATCAGTGGACTGCTAGCTTTCAATGCAGAAACTTATACTTACAACCAGTCCCAACTTCTTTTTTCGGTTGTCGAGCCTGCCTTGGGAAGATGGAAGTTCGATGCATTCAGAGGGACATGTTCCAACGAGTTCCAGCGAAACAGAGTGGCACCAGTGTTGAGATCTATCTCGACAAATCCATCATCCATGATCCATGTCTCATCGACCAATGTTGGCTTGGTATATAGTGTCAGAACAGATGATCCATTGTTAATGATCTTGTACTCGTGGATATTGATTTCCGGCGTGTTGAGCAAGGGCAAGGTCATGTTTACGAGCTCATACTGGCTGTTGATGAGGACAGCCATTCCTTCTGGATGCTCCGGATAGAACTCGTTCGTTGAAATGATGAATGAAAGCATGGTCTCGCCCTTATACATTACGGACCTGAAGTCGTAGGCATCCCGTCCAGGAAACATAGTAGATCCGATCCATACCAATTGCTAAGGCATTGTCAGTACTCTTTCAGAAGACAAGGGTTCGTCCTTTCCCACTCCAGTATGGTCATAGATCATGGGTCCAGTAATATACGCTTCGGCAGGATCTGTGATCTGCTTGGCCTCCAATTGGGAGTAAGGGGCGACAAATAAGTAGCCAGGGCATGACCTCTCCGAATCATATACCGTGACATTCAGAAGCGGAGGTCGGAACTCTGGCAACTGAATGTAGTCAGTATCTCATTAACAAGAATTGACGGCTTCTGTTCTTACAGTTTGAAAGCGGACATGCGTCTCGCTGTCAGTAGACGGGACCACCATCACCGCAGCAGTAAGAATTGTGAAAAGAATACATATGAAAAGACTATACATTATCTATACGGCATGTCGCACAGGACAGAAGATTTGTACAGAGCATCCATCGCTGGCTTTGACGGGCGCTAGCCCCTTGTACGCCATATGTCAGAGGAGCAGGAAATAACGTCGAAGGATCTTCTTGCCAAGACAAAGCAATCGATGATTATCTTGGTGAGATAACCCAGTTCTTTTTGGAATAATCACGTTGAGCTCTTCGTCGACTTGAAAGCCACGATTGCAAGTACATTGAAATAACAGCGGCAAGTTTTGCGATGTGGATGAAGAGAAGAAAGCATGGTGTTGAAGGTAAGGTGATCGCGAGGTGCTCGGTTAGAGAAACTCGGAGCGAAGGAAGGTGCAAGCGACACGGATTCAACCACTACATCTGACAACGCCAGCTTCCAAACATCAATTGCAATTGTGAAATTTTGGCAGATTCTGACTTTCAAGGATGTCTTCGACATTCCATCCTCTTTATTTCATACCTGTTCGCCGCTACGTCACCAAGAGAGCTTCCAAGGTGTCTCAGTACAACTCTGTTGTGCCTTCGTGGGCGTTTGCCAGCAACGACACTGACACCAAGCGAAGCAATCACGTCCATGACCGCATAGAGATTTGCTGCCGTTCTTCTCTGGCTGCATCCATCGAAGCAGAGTTATGTGACTGCATGAGATGATACAAAAGGACATGTCGGACTAGTATAACTTCGTTGCGTACCGTACGACTGTCCCGGGTCCCGTCTGCTGAGTCTAACCTCTATCGTACCTCAACTATGCCAAAGAGCATAACATAGCCTGAAAAGGCACGATTGCTCAGGAAAGTAGAGGCACGTCCCCAGAGAGCCCATAAATTCTGACTTCTCAGTGGACACTATTCCGTTTCCTAGTAGAATTGTGCATTTTTGTAGCTATATGCACCACTTACTGCAGAACGCGGAGACCCATGCTAAACCTGTAAGTGAAGAACATCTCAGCTTGACATTTTCCCCGTGTGATATCGTGTAAAGATGCACAGTTGCTTCCATATCAAAGTTGTGCCCATAGAAACGCGTTTGGTTGCAATCACCAGTTGTATTCCATCATCCTCGTTATGCCGCTTCTTTCATCTTTTAGAGTCTGGCAAAAATCCAGCAGCTGGAAAGCCCAGTAGTTGTGACCAGGAGGTAGTCGCTCAACCGGAACCAGATCTATTATACAGTCAGCTCCACACTCAACGTCTTGAGCACAATACAACATACTCAACGTCAGGCAAATCGATTTCCTCGTCCAACAACTCACACGAATGCTCCTGGATCTCCCTTAGATCCCTCGACTTCTGATCGACCTCCTCGCCCTTCTCCTCTCTCTTTTCCAACCTTCTGACCACCTCTCCAACGCCATGCTTGAACTTGCACACCGCCTTTGCAACATCCACAACCAGAGTTTGCACAGCGGCATCGATGGTCTTGTTGATACGCTCTTCTCTCTCTTGAGCAGCTTGGACTTCAATGCGTTGGAGACGGCGCAATTCTTCCATGGCGGAAATCTCAGCGGCGGTCATCTTTGTGATGGTGGTTTCGAGGAAGTTCAGCATGGAGATTGAAGTCAAGGCTAGACGAGCGACGCCAGGGCCGGTGGTGTCAAGGACGTCGTCGATGGCTGAGAAGACGTTCTCGCTGAGGGCGCTGAGTTCTTCGTGGTCGATGTTGAGAGGCATTGTGATGACTTGGTAAGTTGCAGGTAATCTGGGCTCTGATCTGACAAGAGTGTCTTCTTCTGATTGATGATATTTAGGCAGGCATATAATATCGTTGTTGGAACTTGCTGGGCAATATGTACCCTTGGTGCAAGCTTGCTATGTGGTTTGTCACACAAAATTCCATGATTCAGATAGCAAACCGATGGGGTTTCATGACTTGAACCAACGACTACAAACAGACCTCGATTCTTTGTTCTCGGCACCCAACAGTTTGCGACAAGCCTGATTCGTATGAGCTTCGCATTGGGCTTCTGAGAGTGCCGTCGAGTTTTAGTATTGCTGTCGTAGTGATTGTCAAGACTCGTACTAAGACTTTGTCAATGACATGTTTCTTGACGCAATGTCTGGACCTCCGTGTCACAAAATACCTATGTCAGAGGACAATTTCGATGCGAGGTGCTCATAGTATGCGGCTGCATAGTCTCTAGCAGCGCTCAGTTCTCAATTTTCTTCCATCAAGGTGTTTTTGCATCAAGGTTATTTTTGTTCACAACCCACGGTAACTAGAAAAAGGTCGCTTCAACTCTGCGATGATTTCTCTTTACACAACGATTCTCCAGTGCTTGTTTTTTTTTGACCAACAACTACTGAATTTACAAAATCATGGCATTCGACCCCAAGAACGTGGACCTTACCACCGCCGACGCCAGAGAGATTGTCTGCTACCTTCAGCTAGGCGAAAACGAGTACAACGGTCACCTTCCCGCCCGTATCTCCGCAGTGTTCGTCATGTTGGTGGTGTCAACACTGGGAATAGCATTTCCTTATCTGGGCAAGCAGATGCCTAAAGTCCGCATACCTACTCATCTGTATCTGTTCGCTCGATACTTTGGTAGTGGCGTCATCATTTCTACTGCCTTTATACACCTGTAAGAAAAGCATATACTGTCTCCAACACAAGATACAAGCTGACACTGAGAAAATGAAGCTTGGATCCCGCGTACGAAAACATCGGCTCCAATAGCTGTGTCGGCATGACAGGAAACTGGTCTTTATATCCTTGGGCGCCAGCCATCATGCTCTTTTCCTGTATGAGCATCTTTGCCATCGATGTCACAGCCCAAAAATATGTGGCCGACAGATACGGCTTAAGTGTCCATCCGACTAATATTGAGAATGCAATTACAAAAGGCGCTCCTTCTGCAACTGCGGATCAAACTACAATACCACACTCCAATGAAGAGGACAACACAGAGCATTGTATGGCAGAAAAGATAGCGTTCGCACAACAGTTTGCTGCGTTCTCGATCCTAGAGGCAGGTATCATATGGCATTCAGTTTTCATAGGACTTAACTTTGGCGTTGCTGGTGAAGAGTGGTCGACGTTGTATATCGTCTTGATGTTCCACCAGGCGTTCGAAGGTCTGGGCATTGGAGCTAGATTGTCGATGATACCCATGCCCGAGAAGTACAGGAGGTGGTTACCTTGGGCATGTATTGTTGGATATGGCATCACGACACCTATCAGCATGGCAATAGGTCTGGGTGTGAGGACTACTTATAACAGTGGTGGCTACGAAGCGGTAAGCCAACAAAAAGCCCATTCGGAGGGAACCTAGCTAACAGTCATCCAACAACAGAAACTTGTTGCCGGTGTATTCGATGCCATCAGTGCTGGTATCCTTGTCTACAACGGACTTGTGGAGTTGCTGGCAAGAGACTTCATCTTTGAGCCGCAGACGAAGAGTAACAGCCGTTTGGCTTTCATGATGGGGTGTGTCTTCCTTGGGGCTATGGTCATGTGTATCCTCGGAGAGTGGGCTTGATATGATACAAGAGGGAGAACAGTGCGTATCGCCATAGGAATCTTCGTACAGTAGATCGAATCAGGTTCACGAGTCGGTGGTCCCTGACTCAGGCTCCCTCGCTGACCCCGCACTCCCTCCATCCGGAACCAAGTCCGTGAGAAAGCATGAAGGACTCCTCGTGCTTGCTCGCTGAGCAGGTCAGCTTTCGTTTACACTTTTCGTCTCTGTAGAATCCTACAATGGCTCGCCATGCAACATCACGGTCTGCGCTACCAAACCAAGTCCTCAAAGAGTGAAAGCTGCATTCTCCTTAGGAGAGAGCGAAAGCTCCAGTGGTCTGCCGCGACGATGAATCCTTCCTTACGACCGGGATTCCAAACGAACCTCGTGAACCCAGCTCCTCCTTGGCGCTGACTGAATCAATGGACACATAGCCCCTCATTCTCGGACATGCTGAATGCTGGTATCGGCAGTTGATTGTCAACCCCCACTTGAACACTCCGAGGCAGCAAGATGCTATAACTTTTCGTGTCCGCTCTCCTCGAGGCAATTGACCACCATTGAAGTTTACGATCTCCCAACATGAAACAAAACGAACTCGCTGGCGAGGATGGCATTGGTGTCGGAACTGCTCCAGGTGCCTTTCGCATCCCTGATGGCAGTCAACCAGATGCAGAGAGGCGACCATTGACTCTACCCCCAAATACAAGCTTCGACAAGTTCAACAACTTCATGCAACGTATTGCCGACATTGTTGGTGCGGAAAATGCTACTGTCATATCTAGCGACAATGAGCTCAAGCATGAGTCTTACCTCGACCCGAGCAAGGCTTACGATGTAGGGACAATGCCCGTTCCGAACAAGGCATGTTGTATTTACCAAAACACTAGATGTACCATATCACTCCAAAAGAGTACTTCGTTAGCTCAGCTGTTGTCGCTCCTCGTAACGTTCCAGATGTGCAAGCCATCATGCGACTTTGCAATGAGTTCGAGATACCCGTCTGGCCATTCAGCATTGGCAGAAATGTCGGATATGGAGGAGCTGCACCTCGAGTTCCTGGAAGTGTCGGTCTTGATATGGGCAAGAATATGTCAAAGATCTTGGAAGTCAACGTTGATGGTGCATTTGCCTTTGTCGAGCCCGGTGTTACTTTCATGTAAGTCTTTACTTGGTCCGGCTATGAACTCTTTTGCTGACACCAAAACAGCGATCTTCACAACTATCTGGTCGAAAACAACTTACGCGATAAACTCTGGATCGATGTCCCCGATCTTGGAGGAGGTTCTGTGATTGGCAACACTGTTGAACGTGGTGTAGGATACACGCCATATGGTGACCACTGGATGATGCATTGTGGTATGGAGGTAGTCCTGCCAGATGGTACACTGTGGCGATCTGGTATGGGTGGTCTGCCAAATCCCAAAGCTAACCCCAACGCACCACCACACGAGCAAGCTGCAAATGAGACCTGGGGATTGTTCAATTATGGTTTTGGGCCATACAATGATGGCATCTTCACTCAGTCTTCTCTCGGCATTGTCGTCAAGATGGGCATATGGCTCATGGTAAACCCTGGTGGATATCAGAGTGTAAGTGACAGTCACTCAGACAGATGCAAAATGCTAACATAAACAGTATCTGATCACTCTGCCGAAGGACAAGGACTTGCATCAAGCTCTGGAGATAATCAGGCCTCTTCGAGTAGGCATGGTGTTACAGAATGTGCCAACCATGAGACACATCTTACTAGACGCGGCAGTCATGGTAAGTACGAGTCATCTGTGTCAGTGGAAAGATCTGACGGTATGGTAGGGTGATCGAAAGTCATACACAGACTCAGATAAGCCACTAAACGATGATGAGCTGGACGCAATTGCAAAGAAGCTCAATCTAGGACGCTGGAACTTCTACGGTGCAGTCTATGGTCCGCCACCAGTACGTGAAGTACTGCTCTCAGTCATCAAACAATCTTTCCTACAGATTCCTGGAGCGAAATATTACGAGCCACAGGATATGCCAGACAATGTCGTCCTCCAGACCAGAAACGACACTCTGCAGGGCATTCCTAGTACAACCGAGTTGAAATGGGTTGATTGGTTGCCCAACGGCGCTCACCTTTTCTTCAGTCCCATTGCTAAAGTCTCTGGAGATGACGGTGTAGCACAATATGAGGTGACCCGTCAACGCTGCGAGGAAGCGGGATTCGACTTCATCGGCACTTTTGTGGTTGGAATGGTAAGAACGCCCAGTGTGCACCACACTAATTCAATTTTGGAAGACTAACAATTCTCAAACAGCGCGAGATGCACCACATCGTCTGCATCGTCTTCGACCGAAAAGACCCAGACTCGCGTCGCCGTGCCCACTGGCTAATTCGCACACTCATCGACGACGCAGCAAAACGTGGCTGGGGAGAGTATAGAACACATCTAAGTGTCATGGATCAAATCGCCGAGACCTACAGTTTCAACGATAGTGCGCAGATGAAATTGAATGATAAGATCAAGGCTGCTTTGGATCCTAAGGGTATCATTAGTCCTGGAAAGAATGGCGTGTGGCCTAAGAACTATAACAAGGCTGATTGGAAAGTACCTGAGCAATGAATGAGCAATGTTATGGCTTACGTATCTATCTTTTATTGCAAGAGCTAACTTTTCGCCGCTTCTACTGAGCACTGTCGAAAGGACATTGAAAAATGTAGCAAAGCACAATCAATACTCAGGCTGCCTGGGTCTAAGTCAAGCACTGCGTAGATTGAACGGTTCGGTAACTGTTGCCAACAGGTCAGAGTGCCACTCGCTTTGTGGTCTCTCCATCTTGTGATTCCTCATGATCTTCTCCAAAGCAACCCTATCTTACAAGCAAAGCCAGATCTGACTCGCGTCATCACAGAACCATCATTGTCCCTCAGGTTCTTCTCCAGCAACCCTCTTACTAGCTCGCGTGGCTCCACCTCCAACCTTGTCATCGTCCTCCTCACGCTTTCTCTTTGCCGTTGCCTTGGTCTGCTTTGTAACAGGCGTTTCCTTCTTCTGCTCGGGCTCGACTATTTTCTTCTTTGGCGGCGCTCTCTTTCTGGATACGCTAGGGGTACCCTTTGATTTCAATGTCAAAGCGAAAGGATTGGGTCTACCACCGCTTTGTGCCACAGCTTTTGCAACTGGCTTTTTGGCCCGCTTTGCAGGAGTAGGTGCAGGTGTGGGTGCAGGAGTGGGCTCGGCTGTTGAGCTCCTGGTCCTGTTTTCTGTGATCTCAACAGTACCTAAACGTTCGACTTCTGCGTTGCTGATGGCTGCCTTTGTACGCTTTGGTGCGGGTTTAGCTATATCCTGGGTAGCAGGGTCTGGAGCAGGCTCGACTGTTGTGGTTCTTGTCCTTGTCCTTGACTCTAAGATGGGAGCATCGCCGAGCTCTCTCAGTTCTAGGGCACTAAGAGGATGGGCACCGGGTAGTCTGTTTCTCTTGGGTTGAGCAGGGGTGTTTGTCTCTTCGGTCTCATCGGTCTCAGCTGCAATGGTCGTTTGTGCGTTGGGCACAATGTCAGAAGCGGAAGCAGGTGCAGGAGTCTGAGATCCGCTTCGCAGTCTTCCACCAACGTCCGACTTTGCCTTCTCTGCGGCTGTACGAGGTGGCGAAGCCGCATGAAGTCCAGCCAATTCTTTGCGACCAGCCCCTCCTCTTGTGGCCCTTTGGATACCTATAAGCTTTCTGAGAGGAGGAAGATTTGTCTTTCCAAGTCTCTGAGACCCTCTGTTGAGATTGAAAGGGTTTGATGCGGAAGTATCAGCGAGCTCGTCTGGTGAGGCTGGAGCAAGTTCGTCAGGTGAATCGCGTTGTGCAGGTCTAGGGGTTGCTCTATTCATGACTTTCTGTGCTGGTTTCCTCGATTTGCCTTTGACTGCCTTCTTCTCAGATGCGGGGACTGTCTCGGTATTGGTTTCTGGTTGATGCCCATCTTCTGTGCTTGGCAGAAGGCGTTTCTTTTGTGCGGGCTCATCTGCATGGGGTTGTTCTTGCTTGCGTTTTGCATTGACAAGGGTCAGAGAATCTGACGAGGTCTTTGTGCCATCGACGCCGTTATCATCAGCCAGCTTATCAACAACTTCATCAACCGTATCTGAGGCCCTAGGTCCTTGCAATGGGTCATCACCGGCTTGCTTGGTCGCGGCATCGCTGAGAATAGTGACGTCCTGATCCACTGTCGACAGAATTGCTGATGGTGCATTCTTCCCACGGTCTTCTGAGCCGGCCATGTCCATCACATCTGCGTTGGCATACGTGGCGTCGGCGGAATTCGGCGGTGGAGTCAATGGGGAGATAGGTGGTGGAGATGGTGTGTATCGCTCGCGAACGTTGACTTGGTTCACGGGCTGGCTTCCAGGCAGCTGTCCATCACCCGAAGCGAGAGAAGTCAGGGTCGAGTCGGCGGACGAGTTATCGATATTCTCGTGGTTTAGATCGTTGAGCTCTTCCTTGTGAACTGTAGACTGAAGTTGCACAGTGTTCATGCTGGTCTGTCCATCACCAGAAGCCAAAGAAGTCAGAGTCGAGTCGGCGGATAAGTCGTCAATATGCCCATAGTTCTCATTCGAAGCTGCAGGTTGAACTTGCGCAGTATAGACGCTGGAATCGTAAGGGTCGTCGGAGTAAGGATTGGGTGGGAAGAACGAGGTTGCTGCTGCAGAGGGATCATGTACGACAGAGACATCATCTTCTTGAGCAAGCATGCTCGAGTCGACGTCTTTCGGCAGCTCGTATTCATCCGAGATCTCGTCTTTGATAGCTTGAAGGCCTGTTGGATCGTTTTCTGACACTGTCGTAATTTCCTTCGTGGTAGCGCTTTGCTCGTTGGAGGCTCGGTCGTTCATGTGATCGAGAGGAACAGAAGTGATGCCTTTCTCGACTGAAGCAGCTAAGTCTGTCACAGCGTTGTCATTGTTCTTTTTGGTGATCTCAGGTGGCAAGTCTGCTTGATGGTTAACTGTGGCATCGCTAACAAAAGAGCCAAGTTTGGATGCTTCTGATAGGGAAGGTGTAGCTATCTCGTCTTCGACAGAAGAATTGAAGCTGACTGCCACATCTGCGGATATGGAAGATGCTCGAGTACTCGAGTCCAGCCGAGGACTAGTTTGCCTGGTACTTGTGGTTGTGCCAGTGAACAAAGGTGACGATGTGTTGATGGCGTCGCCAAGGGCATTGGTGTCCAAGATTGGAAAATGCTTCACAAAGACAGAGTCCTCTGGAGGGGATCGAGGATTTTGAGTGTCATTTGTGATGGCAGGTGCGACTCCGTTCTCTACAGATTCGGCATGGACTGGGTTGGCAGTTGGAAACGAATTATCGCTGAGGCTCACAGGCTCTGCTTGAAGCTGGACGTCATTGCTGCTCGGCTCAATAGCATGATCTTCGTGGCGTCTCAGGTCATGCTTTGGCTCTCGTTGGCAAGCAGAGAGGTCACTGAGGTCAACGCCGGCATTGTTTGGTCGTGATGGTTCTTCGCACACTTTCAAAGGCTCAAGAAGATCTAAGAGATCTTCCAAGCGCTGGTCAGTCTTATCCTCTTGTGGCGTATGTTCGTCGAAGAACGCTTTGAGAGTTTCAGCGCCTTCATCCCACCATTCGGGTCGATCGAAGTAATCTCCAAGTTTGCTGAACAATGGGTTTTGTGAAGGCCATTCATGACCAGAAACGAGAGCGGCAGTTGAATCCATGTTGCATAGCTGAAGCGATTGTAGACGTTGTCCAGGATTAAGAGTTGTGCGATGCACGATCTTGGTTGACCAACGCGCTCGAATAGCATCAGCAGACGCGTCAATGCAGTCTTTTGTTGTTGTCCGTTGACGAATGAGCTTGAGAGGTCAATAAATGCGTATCGAAACGTGTTATGGTTCCCAGTGATGTGTAGAAGCGCTGCACAAGATTCGGGGCACAGGCTGCACCAGTGATGTGAAAGCGACGCGTGTGAAAATGCGACTTGTCGATTCAGAGAGACCAAGGTGGGTTGATGGAGAGATGTGAGGAAAAGCGCTGCGAGATTATGAGCTGCGTGTTGAACCTGTGGACCTGGGCTGTGTGAGTGCTAGAAACTATTGCTTCTTCTTCGAGTTGTCACGCCTAGCCAGCACTGTGACGAACTTCGGTAAGATATTCTGACGTGAAATGTAAAGTTTGGGACAACAGCATGTACACCTTGATACTTTGCCGCCATTTTGACAGACTAATTATTAACATCCCAAGCCATGCTTAGCACAGCTGAACCATAAACCCAGGTTGAGAACGCCTTCATCGCCAGCCCATGAAAAAAACAGCCTACAGGAAAACGTCGAATCGAGAGAGAGCACACTAGAACGGTATAGCATTGCTGATTTGGCCACTCATATCTGCAGGCGTAGCAAGCATCCTATTATTCACACGTTAGCCAAGATGTTCATAACATGCATGTGTTCGATGTCTATTACTTCTTGCCAGTTTCAGTTGCACAGCAGCCACAGAATAGAGAGGCAGGCCAGCAGACAACCTATTTCGTGGTTAGAGTTGAGGATGTAGTTGAGGCGCAGAAACATTTCTTACTGCGAGAACAATGGCGCTGGCGAATCCGATGGTAGGGCCAACAACTTTGCAGTGGCAAGGGTTCTGGTCGGTACCTTCGTTATCGTTAGATAATAGATCGATTTCGCGAGGGGACACATTGAACGTACCGCACTGGAAGCAGACGAAGGGAATAGGAAGACAATCCATTGCGAAGAAGGGCGAAGGTAATTATCGAGGGAGTTGGCCTTTGGGAAGCAGATGATATCGAGCTGGGAGGTGCAAGCAGAAACCGCGTGATAAGAAAGTGTTTCGTGAGTCGTGAAAACAATGAGTTGGTACAAGATGCGAAGTAGGACAGAAGGAGCTTCTTAAGGTTTCAATTAACTAGCAAAACCGGAAGACGGGAGCAGTCGATCCCTACCCGGTTAGTTACGCTTTAATGACGTGGGGGCGTCGCACGCATGAGCTTATCCAGCAACAAGCATTTGCACTCTCCACGCAAAAGATAGGGTTGCGGGATGCGATAGTGAGATCCCTCGATCATGACGAAGAGTGGCATTAATTCAGTCGCATTCTGAAACGTTCTGTAGTTCAACGCAGTATCTTGTTACTGAGACCTAAGCTAAAACAAGGAATACATGAGGAAGACGACTGTCCGTCTGTCACTCGGCTAGCTCTAGAATAAAAATCGGAAAATAGTAAACGGGACCCATGGCGCCTTGAATCCTTGTCTGGTTGTATCAACTCAATCGTTGTCGCTTAGACAAGTGTACACCATGCTCCCCGGCTTTTCAGGACGATGAGAAGGGGTTGACGCTGTCGAAGAGTCCTGCAGAAGAAGATGACTGAGGCTGAGCCGAGCCAGCGCGCTTGCTAGGGTCATCACGACGCATGATGCTCTCGACAGGGCCTAGCAGACGCTGGAAACCATTCTTACCCAACATGGCCACCTTGATCTCTGTTTCTGCGACCACAGATGCGGCACGAGGCTTGTCATCCAGCAAGGCCAGCTCGCCAAAGTAGTCACCCTTATTGTACGTCTTGAGCGATTGCTCGACTCCAGACTTGTAAACGGCAGCGGTACCTGACTCGAGCATATAGAAGTGGTCACCAACATCGCCCTCACGAATGATTGTGCTTCCTGCAGGCATCTTTTGCGTTTCAAGAGCATCGGCAATCTTGCTGCGCTCGTAGGGGGTAAGGGTGTTGAGGAGAGGTACGCTGTCAAGGAAAGACTCGTACATGCGGCGGCGCTGGAATGCACTGTCCATCAAAATGCGACGGAAGGTGATGCGGTCGAGTTGCCAAATGACGCTAGGCTCGGTGCTGTTGACAGTTGCAGCACGGGGAGCGTTGTACATCAAGGCAAGTTCACCAAATGAGGTACCAGGGCCGCAGGATGCGACCTTGTTGCCCATGCCATTGGCACCGGGCTCAATCTTGCCAGTTGGTGAGACGTAAATGTCGAAGCTGCCAGTCTCGACAACGTAGAAGTAGTCACCGACGTCTCCTTGAGCGATGACCTTGATGTCCTTCGAAGGGATCTTGCGTTCTTGCAGAGCGCCCAAGACTTGCTCGGTCTGATCGTCATCCAGGTGGGAGAAGAGGAAGTTACGCGAGACAGCAGCGCGCAGACGGCTCAGCTGTTCTTGGGTCTTGGGGTAGGTTGGAGGCTTCCAGTCAGAGTCATCTGTGCCCGAGGGTGCCAAAACTTCAGCAGAGACGGACACACGACGACCCATGTTGTAGTTGTTGGGGAAGTTTTGTGGCACGTCCAGTTGTTGGTTGTTTCCACCAGGGCTGGAATTCTGATCACGCGAAGCAACAGTGTTCTGAGCGCCGCCGAAACCAAAGTTGAAGCCGCCCATGGAGCTATCGTTGTGCTGAGCTGAAGGATCGACGCTTTGAGACTGAGCGAAGGGACTGGAAGAGCTGGCGTTGGCACCGAAGGGGTTCGCATTCGCGGCAAAAGGAGATGCGTCGCGGTTCATGGCGTTGTTGGGGAAAGAAGCTGCAGTGGGCGAGGCGAAGGTGTCCATCTCATCTTCTTCTTCCAGACGCTGCATTCCAGGCTGCTGGACGTGGTGGAAAGGGTTGCTGCCGGGGAAGTTGTTCTCGGCCATTGTTTTGGTGGAATGCTGTGCGCCCAGCAGGAACTCGTGTCGCTGAGACTCTAGTCGACGAAGGAAGTGGTTTGCGCAGAACTGCAGGACGTCGGTAGGCTTGTTCTGCAGGACTTCACGTTCGAGAGTTTCGATCTCGTGCTTGTAGTCGGCGGGAAGAGCCATTGTTGTAGATCGGTAGAGGTACTTGAGAGCTTGAGGAGAGCTTGGGTCGGGACGTTTGTGCAGGAGCCCGCAGACGTGGAGCTACACTGCCGCGGTGGGGTTCTTTGTTTCGATGCAGCTGTCACCTTCGATTGACTGGAGACGTGATGAAGCTGATGCGATGCTGCAATGCGATGCTGGTAATTGGGTACTCTGATGCGTGGTGACTTTGTTCAGGGTATTGAGGGGGGAAACTGCGACCGACGGCCAATGAGCTAATGAGGGGGTTTAAAGTCGTGGCGCGCGTGACGACAGAAGCAATTTGGACGAGAGAACAGCACCACCCAGTCAAACTTCAAGGTTTCTATCCTAGACGACCACAGGATAAAAATGTATGAATCGAAGGGAAAGGAAGGAGCGAGAGTTGGCAGCTGTGCTTTTGGGGCCAATTGATGTCGTTCCCCTCGCTACTGGGTACTCGCAACTGCCACTATTCATGACACTATTTGCTACTCCTTCGAGAAGGTATAAAACGGTACAGCTCTGGATTGACAACGGTTACACAGCAGCAGCTCCACATCCAATACTTCGCTTGAGCAAGGCTTCGATCAAGCCGACGGCACGCTCCCTTCTACCACGACCAAATAAGAGTCATACAAAAATATTCAGAGCAAGAAATTTAGTCTAGTATAGCTGCTCTAGCAGTCCCAATCTCGGCTCCCAAGTTGCTTGCAAGCTCACGACATGCCAAGACAAAGACACGTATGTCATCTTTGGTAGGAAATTAGAATGGCATGATGAAATGGAAAGCTCTCTGATCAATGTTGCTGCTGAGACAATCATAATTCACAAGGCCATTCATGCTCCACTGCCTTTGATTTTCTGTAGACAGATATATCGTAATTAAGCTCTCGTCAGCGGTGAGAACTGAGTAGCGCTAGGGGACTTGTTAGGCAACACCTGAGGCTTTCTTATCCAGCACACATCTAGATCAATCATGCATAACTTATGAATTCTCGAAATGCTTGCACGCGACTAGCATACTCAAAAGGCGTTTCTTCCCAGGCTTCACATCAATGCCTACTTTAACAGGCCTCGCACATGTTTTCGAAATAGCTCTCGGCCGTACAAGTCCGACAGAGTTGTGTTGCGCTCTCGCAGATGATGACCAGCCGTCCCATACGATTTCCCACCAAGGAATTTAGCTTTTGGCAGAGAACGAGTACGTGCTCTCCGCGTGAACTGCGATGACGTCCCTTGCGAGCTTTCTGGTGCTTCCGAACCCAGGTATTTCCCAGCCTGCCTGACTGTGCTGTTGCAGCAAGTTAAGTATCACTGCTTCGCATCCATTCTTTCCTGGTGAAATAGAGGCAACTGTGCCCGCCAGACAGCCTGTTCCTGTACAATCCCACTCTCGAGCACACTGACATCGATCCAGACCCCTGTTGTCAACGATCAAGAAGGATCATCGTCAGCCACAGACGCAAGCCACCGCACGAACTTGAACTTGGCCTGTGCAAGCTACCAGTTGCTGTCCTGTCTCTCCTGCAAGGCGCGCGCATCAGTCTCTTGTGTCACCAGCGCATTATCTATCCTCCTCAACCTACTCCGTCAGCTTTTGCAACAGGCCGTTCCTCTATAGGCCATTCAATCTTTGCAACCGAACTAGCTGATCGCGAGCAGCCATGGGCCAATACACATTCACTTGGTAAGTCAAATATGGCTCTCAATCGCGTCGCAATCTGCCATTCTGCGCCTGCCTGCGAACTTCTCAATTTTTGCACTCGCTCAACAGATGCGCGCCCACCCTACCTGAAACGAAGCGATTGCTGACCCGCAGCCTCAGGAACCACCCTGCCCAAGAAGTCTACGTGACAGGTGACTTCGACAACTGGTCCAAGTCTGTCAAGCTAGACAAGCACGGTGACTCTTTCCGCAAGACCATCACTCTTCCCGGCGAGGAGAGCAGAATCCACTACAAGGTGAGAATTACTGAGTTGGAACATCGACTCCACGCGACTGACGCTCTCCCGTGTAGTTCGTTGTCGACGGAAACTGGACCACCGATTCTACCGCCAAGCAAGAGACAGATGCCTCGGGCAACGTTAACAATGTCGTCGAAGCTAGAGAGCTGAGCCCAGAGCCCGAAGACCGTCCTGCCAATGCATTCATCTCTTCAGCACATCCTCAGTCCACTACCGCCGCTCTTGCTGGTCAAGTACCGCTCGAAAAGGAGAGAAACGTCCCCTCCGAGCAGAATGAGACGAGCTTACCTCAGGAAACTCCCGGCTTTGAGGACCTGCCCGGCCAATTCCCAATTACACCTATGGCTGACCTCAATCAGTTCACTGTCAACCCCATTCCTGCCACCGCTGGTATTGGCAACCCTATCAAGCTTCCCGCTGGCGAGCCTGTTCCTCATCCCAGCACAATCACCTCCAACACTGTCCAATCGACCGTCCGTGATGGCTCTCAGTACGGTGTTAGCGACACTGGTGCTCCCGTCCTTCCTCCGGTTCTCGACTCTCAGAGTGAAGCCGAGGCGAATGGTGCTTCTATGTTCAACCTCCCTCCTATCGGCGGCACCATGATTCCTGAGTCCAGTCTGCCTATGGGTGCTGGCAACGATCGCCTTCCCAACCTTGAGAACGCTTTCACCTCTTCTGTGGCTCCTCAGAGCACTACCGCTCAGCTCGCCGGACAAGTTCCTCTTGAACCTCGTGGTGCTCGTGGTGTTCCCGAGGTCGTTTCTGAGAGCCAAGAGGCCGCACATGTTAGCCCTGAGGCTGCTGCTAACCCCGAGGCCGTTCGCGAAAAGGCTGCTGTTGAGAGCGAGTTGAAGCAGACAGTTCCCGCAGCAAACGAGAACGAGAACGCTTTTGTCGACCGCAGCCCCGTCGCTGATGCTGCTTCAAGCGTGTCGCAAACCGCTTCGAACACTGCCCAGGCCGTTTCTGACTCTCACGTTCCCGAGGCCGTCGCCGGTGGTCTTGCTGCCGCTGGTGCTACCGCCATTGGCGCCGCTCTTCTCGCCAAGGACAAGCTTTCCGAGGCCTACCAGAATGCCACTGAACCTACTCCCGCATCTAAGGAAGTTCCTGATGTCGTTACCGAGAGCCAGGAGCGCGCTCACGCCGAGCCAGAAGCCTCCGCCTCGCCCGAAGTCGTTCGTGAGAAGGCCGCATTCGAAGATGAGCTAAAACACTCTGTTCCTGAGGCCCCTGCCACCTCTGAGTCTGGTCTGCTAGGCACTGGCGAAGGTGGCCTTGCTGCCAAGATCGCCGCTGGTACTGCCGCTGTTGGCACTGCTGCAGCTGGTCTTGCATACGCTGCTAGAGACAAGGCCATCGATGCCCACGAAAACGCTGGTGCTCCTTTGTCCAACCTCACCAAGGAGCCCACCATTGACGGTTCTGTTCCCGAGGTCGTCACTGAAAGCCAAGAGCGTGCTCACGCAGACCCTGAGGCTTCCGCTTCCCCCGAGGTCGTCCGCGAGAAGACCGCTATGGAAGGTGAGCTTCTCTCTGAGGTTCACAAGGCCCCCGCAACCTCAGAGTCTGGCGTCTTTGGCAAGAGCGAACAGGGTATTTCTGAGAAGGCCACTGCCGGTGCAGCTGCCGCTTCCGCTGCTGTTTCCACACAGGCAAACAACCTCGGCCTGACTTCTTCTACCACTACCAGAGGCGCAACCGAGCTGGAGTCTGGCTCCGAGCAGGTCCCTGAAGTCGTACAAGAGAGCCAAGAGAAGGCCCACGTCGAGCCTGAGGCTTCCGCCAACCCCGAAGCTGTGCACGAGAAGCATGATATGGAGAGCGAGCTCCTTTCCCAGGTCAACCAGGCACCTGCTACTTCCGAATCTGGTGCTTTTGGTAACAGTGAACAAGGCATCACTGGTAAGGCTGCTGCTGGTCTCGCTGCTGGCGCTACTGCTATTGGCGCCACTGCCGCAGGTGCTGCTTACGCCGCTCGTGACAAGGCTGCCGATTTGACTGGTAGAGACCTGAACACCACCGATAAGTCAACATCATTGCAGTCCGGTTCTGAGCAGGTTCCTGAGGTCGTTCATGAGAGTCAGGAAAGAGCACACGTTGGACCTGAAGCTTCCGCTAACGCTGAGGCTGTTCATGAGAAGTCCGACATGGAGAAGGAGCTGTTGGCCAACGTCCACAAGGCACCCGCCACTTCCGAATCTGGCGTTCTTGGCAGCAGTGAACAAGGAGTCACTGGTAGAGCAGCTGCTGGTCTTACTGCTGGTGCTGCTGCTGTCGGCGCAACCGCCGCAGGTGCTGCCTACGCTGCCCGTGACAAGGCTTCTGACCTAACTGGCAGAGATCTTAGCACTACCCAGAGATCGACAGGACTGGATTCCTCATCGGATGTTCCTGAGGTCGTCCACGAGAGCCAGGACAGAGCTCACGTCGCTCCCGAGGCTTCGGCTAACTCCGAGGCTGTCCACGAGAAGTCCGACATGGAAAAGGAGCTTCTGTCTCAAGTTCACAAAGCACCTGCTACATCTGAGTCTGGTGCACTTGGTAACAGCGAGCAAGGATTGAGTGGCAAGGCTGCTGCTGGCATCGCTGCTGGTACTGCTGCTCTAGGTGCTTCCGCTGCTGGCGCCGCCTATGCTGCTCGCGACAAGACTGTCGAGACTACTGGCAGAGACCCTACCTCTTTCCTCCCTCCATCGATCGCCAATGCAATCAACAACATGAACCAGGGTCTTCCCTCTACAAACACCTCGGTGGCCTCGCCTAACCTTCACTCATCGGTCCCTGAGGCTGTTGTGGATTCTCAACATCAGGCTCATGTCGCACCTGAAGCATCTGCTGAGCCAACCGCTGTTGCTGAGAAGAGCGAGGTCGAGAGAGAATTGCTCGATCGTGTGCCCCGTGCCACTGAGGCTGGCCAGCCTGCACCTACCGAGACTGCTGCATTGAGTGCTACTGCTCCTGTCAAGCCTACTGGGTCTTCTGACATGGAGTCAGCCGTTCTCGCTGCTGGCGGCTCTGGTGCTACTGGCGTTACTGCTGTTAGTGGCGTTCCACCTGTCGATGCTCCCCCTGTCTCTTACTCGACTACTGTTCCTGAGAACAATGGCCTTTCCGGTGCCACTACTAGCGCGCACCCCATCTATAATGAGATAACATCCGCCAATGCACGTAGCACTGGCTTGAATGCTCCTGCCGAGAGTCAAGCTCAAATTCCTGCTCCTGGCGAGTCTGAGAACCTTGCTGCTACCCTCGCTGCCCCTGCCGAGCCATCACGCGACGTCTCACCCATGACTCGTCCTGATTCATCTAAGCAGACAGAGCCTCAAGTGACTACCGGCACCGAGACCCACAATGTACCTGCCACCAGCGGCAGCACACCTACCACTCCTCAGAGAAACGCAACCAAGAGATCTAGTCAATTCGGTTCCCTCCGTGGCACACCCAAGAGCGACCGCACTAGCATCGCCGGATCATCCAAGGTGGACGAGGATGGCAAGCCCAAGAAGAAGGGCTTCCTCGCCAAGCTGAAGGAGAAGTTCAGAGGATAGAATCCGCATCAGCGGACAATGGCAAAAGTCAGAAGATGGGACCCGCGCCAGCGGACAGTGGCAAAGTTGAGAGCCTAGCATGCCCGTCACCTATCGAACCCATCGCAAACCCATTTCGTCGAAATTGGGATACACCGCGTAGTTGGATTTTTCTCGACAAGCTCCGTTGAGAGAGAGGAGGTGGTGGATCTGCTGAGCCAAAATTGGGAGAGGTCTGTCGATGGAAATCGCCAGACTAGGGGGAGTTTGTAATGTTGTAATCACCCTTTTTTATTCGCGCGTGTCATTATGTAGCTTATTCCCCTTTTTGTTTTGTGGATTGGTTTTGGTTTTATATTTCTTTCCTTTGTCCTTTTCTTTTCTCTTTCTCTTACATAGCTCTTCCATCGTTTTACATAGGAAAGTTATTAATTTGATTGTTCTTTTTGTCTGCAGAAGGTCTTGTTCATCACATCGCTTAGGAAACTCGGCTGATTCGGTGTATTCGCAAATTGCTCGACATATTGAGCCCTTTATTTCAGACTTGATGTCTTGTGTTATTCTGCTTGATTTGGGTTCGCCTGAGTACTCCAAAGCAGTCAACTTGAAAATGGTCCTTCGTGTGATGTATACATCACATCTAGTGGATCTGTCAAGCCTCCAAGCATTATCGAGAATTCCTAATTGAAGCGACAACATTGAACACTTTACATTTCTACTATTTATAAAAAGTTTGGTCTAGTCATTGGTCCCTTTTTCTCATTCATTGTGCTTTGGAGAAGTTCGCATTCGCTAGTCTAGGTATCATTTGGTGACATGGAAGATCAGACCAGGGTCACACGAGATACTACAAAAATTGGTCCGTGCACACGATATGGTTTTATCTCGTTCTTAGATGATGATGAATGCAAGAACTCTGTGGACGATGTAATCTGTTTTGGATAATCTATGTACAGAGAAGAGACTGAACTGTACCTATCCTACATACTAGGGCTCCTAGGTGCAAGATCCTCCTCATTGACTGCCGTTGTCGTAGTGGGGACGGCCAGCAACCTGTATGTCCAGCGATGCTTGACATACTAGGTGGTTCGAGCCAATGCGTAAATTGAGTGCCGATGCCAACCTCTATCTCTTGGTAAGGCATCATGCCATATCTCAATGAGATGAGTGGAAGAGCGGACCAAGCTCGTGCGTGTCTGTTGCGTGGATGCAGTCATGAAGCAGAGTGCCACCAGCAGGATGATTGTGAAAACTAGTCATGCGAAAGATGCCCTTTCAACCAGCCTTGCGCAATGAGTTGTAGTGCTCACCAAGACCAAAGCCATGTCTGTAGTATGCCAACCACAGTTGCTTGTCGTTGGCCTCAGCACTCGGATTGATCTCTTCAACTCTGCCATCGCCCTGTAGCACGCTGATAGCGACGCCGTATTTCTTTGCCAGAGCCATCAATTCGAGTTGACCACCCCACTCGCCAGTATTCTTGATCTTGTAGATGTAGTAGTCCAGAGGCTCTTCCAGGAACGGAGTAAAGTCATTTGGATGCGCTTCAATGTACTCTGCAGCAGCTTGTCGCACAATCTTGTAGGGCTCGAGTGTGCTGGCAATGTCTGGGGTGGAAGAGGGCGCGCTGCCCAAGGGGATTTCCAGTTGTTGGAGTTGGTCGGCAATGGCAGAGTAGAGGCAGTGACCATCGGCGCGGATTTCCTTCTCGGCGAGCTTGCGGGCAGCGAACTGTTTGAGCATACTCTCGCGCTCGACGGCTTTGAGGTTGGGAATGTCTTGGGCTTCTTCGGCGGCGGAGGCTATCAGGGCTTCTTGCTCGGCTGCGCGACGGGCGAGGCGGGCTTTTGCGCGGTTCTGCTTCTTGGGTGCCGGGGCGATTGGTGGATCTGGTGGTGCGGAGGATGTGGGCTCTGGTTTTGAATCTGTGGTTTGGGGAGCGATCTCGAGGGCTTCTGCGCGGTCGGCCAATTCGTCTTGGTCTCTGTCTGTGTCGTTGTCGTCTGCTTCTCCATCGGTAGGAGCAGTCATGGCCCGGATCTCTTCCTGATGGCGGGCCTTCATGTCTCGTTCCAAATTGTCGCATTCATCATTGACACCTTTGCGCGTCTTCTTGGTGGCAGCCTTTTTCTTTTGAGTGATTCTTGATTGCAGGTCTTTGGCTTCCTTGCGATGGCGCTGCTGTAGTTCTTCCATGACTGAGGCCAGTTGAACCCCAGAGGGAGACAGATGTAGTAAATCCGAGTGTCGAAAGAACAGTGGAGAGCTTGTCATGGCCGCGGCGGGCAAAGCGTCGACGAAGCTTTGGTGGATCTTGGACCGCCTTCCGCTGCGCCCGCTACCACTTTATAACAAACTAAACAATGACGTCCGACCATTGTCCGGCACCCGTTGGAATCGTCGTACGTCTCTTTGGCCATCTTACTTTCACTGTCCCTATCATCTGATCATAAGAATATGTCTGTGTGATCTGGGCTCATACCAACATCCAACGCCACCATGCCGCAACATCGAAGCGGCGTCTCTGTTGCCTTGACTGCCGCCTTCTTGGTCTTGACGTCCATTTTCGCCGCCATCTATGCATTTGGTCTTCCTGAACTTGATTACTGGCACTGGAGAGCTTCCTATGACCCTTTCAAGAATCAGCCTTCGTCACAAAATGTATTTGACAGCTTCACCAAACCATCTGCCTCGGATGACTACCTCGTCGGCGTCGGCAAGGCTGATATCACCGGTCCTGTCACCGAGATCAATCTCATGGGCTATGCTGACCCTGCTCAACTTGGAACTGGTCTAAGACAGCGCCTTTACTCTCGTGCTTTTATTCTTGGTGATACAGAAAGTCCTCGTAATCGCTTTGTCTACCTTGTTCTCGACACACAATCCGGTGATACTGCCGTCCGTAATGGTATCCTCGAGGGTCTGAAAGACCTCGGCCCTGAGTATCAATCCTATGGAAGACAGAATGTTGCCGTTACCGGAACTCACTCTCACTCTGGTCCTGGCGCTTGGTTGAATTATCTGTTGCCTCAGATTACTAGCCGAGGTTTCAGCCAACAAAGTTACCAAGCTATTGTCGACGGTGCTCTTGAATCAATCAAGCAGGCTCATCAGTCGCTGAGCCCTGGTCAGCTATCTGTTGCTTCTGTTGATATCGAGGATGCAAACATCAATCGCAGTCCTTATGCCTATCTTGCTAATCCCAAAGAAGAACGCGACAAGTATGAGTACAACGTTGACAAGACTCTGACTCTTCTAAAGCTGCGAAGAAATAGCGACAAGAAGGATATTGGTGTCTTAACTTGGTTCCCTGTTCACGGTACATCCATGTTGGGCAATAACACCCTCATTACTGGTGACAACAAGGGTGTTGCAGCATACCTCTTCGAAAAACATGCTGCTCAGATAGACTCGACAGCTGATGGCTTTGTTGCTGGCTTCTCACAAGCAAATGTCGGAGACACTTCTCCAAACATTAACGGAGCTTACTGCGAATCTGGTCCCGATGAGGGCAAGCAATGTGACTTCAAGACAAGTCTTTGTGCTGGCAAGAACGGCCCTTGCCATGGACGCGGTCCTCATTGGGGACTGGACGATGCAGGTACAGCTTCTGCTTGGGAGATTGGTCGCAGACAATATCTTGGTGCTCGCTCGGCCTATGAATCAATGACTGCCAAGTCTACCTTCACACCTATCCAGGGCAGTGTCGTTCGCTCTCTACACACCTTTGTCGACATGTCGAACCAAACCGTCATCTTGCGCAACGGCTCGACGGCTCACACATGTCCAGCAGCGATGGGATACTCATTCGCTGCTGGGACTACAGACGGTCCCGGTGCCTTTGACTTCAAGCAAAACAATCCTGGTGACCCCAATGCAAGCCCAGTCTGGGCTGTGGTTCGCAATAGCTTGCACTCGCCTGGACCAGAGCAGATTGCGTGCCAGTACCCCAAACCCATCTTGCTTGATGTAGGTGAGACCGAGAAACCCTACCTCTGGACGCCCAATGTTGTCGACATTCAACTCTTACGTGTCGGTCAACTCCTGATCATTGTAGCTCCGGGTGAAGCCACTACCATGGCAGGACGACGCTGGAGAGAAGCACTGCAGAGCCACGCTCTCTCTGCCTGGGACGAGTCACCCAATGCGGCGGACCCCGTAGTCGTCCTGGGCGGCCCAGCAAACACATATGCGCATTACATTGCTACCGAAGAGGAATACTCTATTCAACGCTATGAGGGAGCTTCCACACTATATGGTCCACACACCCTGGCTGCTTACATCAACGTCACACTTCACCGACTACCCTACCTCTCAGCTTCTTCTGTATCAAACTCACCCTTATCGCCACCATCTCATCCTTCTCTGCCAACATTGGAGCTGGGACCTGATCCTCCCATCCACACAAACAACTCGCTAAGTTTCATCTCTCCCGTGGTCTTTGACCGCGCACCTCTCTTCAAGTCCTTCGGCGATGTAGTCACCGATGTATCACCTCGCTACGCCATCTCCTCATCTCCAACCGTCAAAGCCTCTTTCGTAGCCGCCAACCCCCGCAACAACCTCCATCTCGGATCTACCTTTGCCGCAATCGAGAAATACACCTCTCAAGGCACTTGGGAAACCGTCAGGGATGACGAAGACTGGAGTCTAATTTTTGAATGGGAAAGAACAAGTACCACAGCTGCCACTTCTCAAGTCACCATCTCTTGGGAGTTGGGCTGGGAAGTCGGTGATTGGGGACGTGCTGATGTGAAGAATGAGGGTAAGCAAGAGCTTGAGCTTGAACTTGAGTTGCAGAAGAGACAGGGGATGGAAAAGGAATTGAAGGGAAGGTATCGTATCAAGTACTTTGGAGATAGCAAGGGAATCGGAGGAAAGATCAGTGGGTTTGAGGGAACCAGTGGGGAGTTTGAACTTGTGTGATTTAGTAGAGATGTATTTGTATGCTTTCGTCAATTACTTGTGTATTTCCGTTTTTGATCTCTGTCCTGGCTGTCCTGCGTCTCCCCTCATCCCCCCTTTCCCCCTTCTCTACACCACCACCGTTTCTCTTCATCTCAACCATCAGTTCTTTCAATTGCTCCATACCGAGATTGCGTTTTTCCAAGTGCGCTGCATTGCGGGCTTGGACACTTGGAACTTGAGAGGGTTGGGACGATTGGGAAGCTTGGGAGGGATGGAGGTTTGGCGCGTGAGGAACTCCTGGTAGATGAGCTGTCGAGGGGGTTGGAACGGAGGCAGAGGAGCTGGAGGTTGGAGCTGCGGTTATAGGGACGGCGAGGAAGGAGAGGATGGATAGAGTTGTTGAGGTCAAGAGGGTGCAGTGCATTGTAAAGTTGAGAAGATGAGAGCTGTCAAGTGGATTCGAGGACCGTGGCTTCCTGATGGCAAGTATTATCAATTTTAGGGTGGGACGATCGTTGGATTTTGGCAGTAAGAGAAAGTGACAACAATGAGTATGGCTTGTGCTGATGAGCAAACGTCCAGATGACCCTCTGGTGCACTTCGACTGTGTACCGTTTATATATACATTGGCTCTCTTATATCAGCTGCGGGACTGCGAGCAATGGGGGTTTGAAGGGCATGAGAATGTCTTCGAACAACCGTGGTGAGAGGAAACACGTTTGGAGTGTGGTCGCATGAAACATGTGTACGGACATGGTGACAAAGTGTTGGAAGGAACATGGAGGACGAGTCAAGGTTTACGGGTTGACCAGAAAAAGAACATATCTTTTGACGATCTTGAAGGTACAGCTGAGGCGTGGATGATTACATGTATGTACACGCGTATTCTCTATGTTCTTCGGTATGTGTCTTCAAAGTGAAGTCATAAGATACAGAGGTGAAGTCGTTTCGTAGCCGTCTCGGCAATGATACCTGCGTTTCGTGACAGTAGCTTCGGGACAACAAGGTCCGCAGCATTGTTTGCGCCCATACATCCGACTATGTGTTTTCAATCTTTCCTGCATAGACTTGTAGTGCGCCGAAACTCTTCTAGCCTCGAAGCACGAGATGTGTCGAAGCTGTTTCAGACATGGCTGCTGGTTGCAACACATCTGAGGGCAAAGATCGCCCGGCAATGAAGAAATGTTGTGAAAGCCAGGGAGCTGATACCCTAGCTCATCTCGAGAAAGTATCATGAGAAGTTCTCGAGTGTCCAAACACGCACTTCACCATCATCGCCAGTGCTGATGATAATCTCCTCATCATCACTACGACGGCCAGCATCGCTTCGCTTAGCCCAACAGACGTGGTTGATTTCAAAGACGTCGTGCGCATTTTCGACTTCAGCCATAACAACCCATTCCGTCTTTGCGATTTCCTTAGGGCCATCTGTTGTCTCTATTTGTGTTGATGCATTGTCGGCAGCCCATTGCTCCTTATAGACGATGATTTTGCCGTCACTACCCGCGCTGACAAGGAGACCAGTAGTTCTGCTCCATGAGACAGAGTAGATGGCGCGTTCGTGGTGTTGAGGCAAGGCGGCTTCAGGGACCCATTCTTCCTCGATGGTATTTGTCTTTATGATACTTGGCATTCTGGGACCAGTCTGAGGAGCGCCATTGGGCCTGTCTCTGGGAATGCGGCGCCAGACGCGGATGCTGAGATCGTCGGAACAACTAGCTAGACGTGGACCAGAGGCTTCTCTTAGTTCGAGCAGTCTTTGCTGTTGCTCTGTGGTAGCTTTGAGACCTGGTCGTGTGGCACCCTCAAACTCTACCCACCAGACTGTACCACCGTGGCCTGCGAGTACGGCGCAACAGCCCCAATCGTCAATGTCTTCTCTCCACAGGCGAATGTTGTCGTCGTAGCTGGACGAGGCGAGGAGTTCTTCCGAGGGGTGCCAGCACACACACTTGACATCGCCCTCGTGCTCTTGCAAAACAGCGACAGTTTCAAAGTTATCATCTTCCAGCTCTTCCCAGATCCAAACACTCTTATCGCGACTGCAGGTCGCGAGCAATGGCGAGGTAGGACTAAATGCCAGACTCTTGATCTCGGACTCGTGGCCGTCAAGCACGACAGCGAAGCGCCACTCGTCATCCTCGTCACCACCTCCGTCTTTTGTGAAGTCGACTTCGTTGTCTTCTGATTTGTTGACCTTGCCGCTGTTGCCCTCCCATCGTCTCCAGATGCCGGCGCTGGCGTCAAAACTGCCAGTCGCAAGTACACTCTCGCCGGTAGCAGAGGTGCCGCTGTCGGGTTTCCATGCAACACTGCGGACGGAACGTTTGTGACCACCAGTGATGTTACTGACGAGGTTGAAAGAGTTGAGTGAGTAGACGCGCACACTGCGGTCACTGCATGCTGTTGCGACGATAGGGAGGTTCGGGTGCGGCGACGAGAGCCATGTGCGTGTGTTGGAAGCTGGTGTCAGAGTCGCCAGTGGCGCAATCGTTGGTTTCGAGGTCATGTTGTGTGTCAATTGAGGCTTGTCCAAGCTACGACAATTGCGTTGATTTCGAGTCGAGATTGTGACTGTTGCGAATTATCCCCAAGTACGTCAGCGACCCTGACCCGAAGCCGCAATCTGCCTCAAGCTGGGCCGCGACGACGCAAATTTTGGCACAATCCAGCTCTTTCCTCGACTTCTCCGAAAACCTGTTTGTCTCTATACACGTCTTACTCCAACCATGGACCCTGACGCTTCCATCTCTGTGGACTCGCCCAGCGCTTCAAAACCATCACGCTCACAGCTAAAATGGACAAACGACATGGAAGTGACTTTCATTGCTACCATGAAGAGCATGCAAGGCCCTCCGACCAAGAATGTCCCTTCTGGCTTTACCAAAGACGCATATAAACGCGTCGCCGAGATTATCAAGGAAAAATCATATCAACCTGATTTGTGTGACGACATCCGTATGAAGAACAAGTTGGGCGCTTTGAGGAACGACTGGCGTAGTTACGTGAATCTGCTTGCTATGCCATGGCCACGTTTACCAAGTGGCCTGCCTACAAACACTGATGATGTCCTGGAGAGCTACTACAAAGACCAGGATCCCAATGCCAGAAAATTCCGGGCTCTGCCTCTGAGGCATTATGAAGAGTTGACTGATCTATTCGATCCTGAACATCTTGTCCAGCAGCGCTTGACTTCAGAATCCGCACCTCGACCTGCCGAAGTCACTGCTGCCAATGGCCAATCTGTTCCTTTACCACACTCTCCCTACGAGTCTGTAGCGGAGCGACCATCTAGTCGAGTTCTTGATCAACAGAATACTCTGCCAGACACCACTGCCAACATCCCTCACAGCCCTCAATACGTATCTACACCTCAAACAGCTGCCAAGCGGCCGGCTGAGTCGACGCTCTCCAACCAAGCTAAACGTATTCTCATGGGTGAACCGTTGCCTGCGGAACCAAAACCCTATGATACCGTACGAGCATACTACGGCAACACCTCGCAGGTCTCTCCGGTGGCAGCTGCAACTGCCCTCTTCAAAGCTACTTTCTCATCCTTGCCCGCCAGACAAAGAGCTATCGCCGTGAAGCACTTTGCAGATCCGAATCTGGCCGAGGTATTCTTGCATACTGACTCAGAAGTAAGAGAGCAGCTGGTTCATGGCTGGATCATCGCCGCTGGACATCTGCCGGGTTGACTGCAGGTACACTTGCGTGGTAATGACAGAACAAATGAACGATAACCTCATTACGAGCAAAAGGACGAATGATGATGAAAGTAGATATCATGCTAAGTGGCAGGCGAGACATCATCAAAGCCTGCGTCTTCTCCATCGCGATCCAAGAGATACTTGAACCTCCCCTTCTGCTCATATTGTGCAGTGATATAAGACGGCACGTCTTTGTTGTCCTCGGTCCTGTCATACAGCTCATCTGCTCTGCCAAACAGATCCAGACCATGCCGGACTCGGTCGATCATAATGCGCAAGTCACGATTTTCTTCAGTATTCCAGTTCTGATGAGAAAAACTCTGCATCTTGGTGTGCATCTCGGCCACCGTCGCGAAACAACTAGAGCAATGCCAGCCTGCGTTCCAAAGCGTGGCTCTGTTCCACCAGCGACGCATTGCAGCAATGGGCATCCATCCACTCCCTAGCAGCCCTTGTCGAAGATCGTTTGGCAGAATCGTCTGTTGACCTCGATATATCGTGACATCAGGATGTCCCCACTGCGGTCCTCGATGCCGCCATTGGAACGAGTAATAGTAAAATTGCGTACGCAGCGTCAAGCGAGTCGGAATATCGCAATGTCGCAGCACAAGCATGACCTCAGGCCTAACAATCTCATCCATATCACTCACAATCAACACATCCCCATCCTTCGCCTCTTGTTCCGTTCCGTCCAACCCAGGAAACACCGCCGTGAACAGCGCATTCCTCAAATAATCCTCATGATCCCAGATCCATCGGCTTTGAGCCCGATCTTCCACAACACGATAAATAATCTTGTGGTGAAACTCTTTGAACAAATCCCAGTTTTGTTGCAGGTAGAGGGGTTTGGGCTTTCCAGTGAATGTTGTGGGCGATTCGATGATGACGAAGTAGTCGATGTGGGGTGAGAGGGTGTGCAGGCGTATTTCTAACCAATCTAGTTCTGTGGATATGAGGACCAGGTCGTAGATCTTCCTCCTGCTGTGCTGTGCACTCAGAGGAGCAAAGCCATTGTTATGGCATATTGACTCTGCTTCGTTTGGTAACAGAATAGATGCTTCGTGCGTGCCTGAATGAGAGGAGAAGTCAATGAGGTCGATTGATAAATAGCGGTCTCGTGAGAGCTCGTGGTCGATTATGATCCAGAGTCCAATGATGGCTAACAGCATTACAGCAGACGACAAGGTGCGACTCTGACGCCGCGTCCACCTCTTCGCCCACATCTTCTCACGATATGAATGGATGTTGTTTGCTTTGGCCATTTTCTCCTGACATGGACGAATGTTGTTTGACCTGGCCATCAATTTAAAGTGTGGCTTAATTTAATGAGACTGAATTGGCACATTGGCACCAAGGCTGAAGTGGTCTAGGCAGCTGAATGTCCAAGCCACACCTAAAGATAGAGTATGGTTATACCTTCTGACCTTGTGACTCGACGCGTCACTAGGAAGATGAACTGGGTTTAAGCTAAGCTTCATGCATTTATGGATAGTTTCTTACGGGAATCGGCTCTTTGGGTTCTTTGGTTGGGCTGCAATGTTGTCTAGAAAGTCTGGTCTTGTTTGATGTGTGGTATGCTATACATGAGCCCAGCCGTACCATGTCAAGATTTGCATCTCGTTTATCAAGCATGAAGACCCTGTTTCGTGGCCTTCGGGATGTTTCTCCTTCCACTGGTCTACGCGGCGTCTCATCTCCCTCTCCTTGAACCAAGGAGATGTAGACCACCGCAATAACCTATTGGTCCAAAGGCCTCGCGCAATAGAGAAAACAGACATCCACGCCCTCAACCCCTCTGGATTTACCTCTCTGTAAGCACGCTCATTATAGCCCACTCGCACATTTGGATTCACCCAAACACCCCGTTCCGCACTGAGAGGGTTATCCGTGTGAATGAGACAGCACTCCGAGCCCTCGACATGCAACTTCGCCAGAGAGTCTGACACGCCTCGGAAAATCAATCGAGGGGTTTGGTAGAATGGCTTTGCGTTCATGGCAACAATGCCATTCCAGCAACTTTCCACCGGTGTTGGTTTGCCGTGCTTCAAGGCTTCTCGGGATGCTCGTGAGCGGAAGTATGGCCATGCTGTTGTGGCAGCTTCGTGGCCCTCAGAATCTCGAAGGGCGAAGGTGTCGTAGAAGGCAGGTGGTTTGGAGAAGTCCAGAGCGCAGGCTGCAGCATAGTCCCCATCTCTAGTGGAGATCAACTTTTGGACATCTGGAGTCTGACACACAGTCAGCAAGACTTTTCTATGTGATTTGAACATGACCTTACCGTGAACACGACATCATTGAGGAAGAGAATCTTGTCAAACACAACATTGGTGTCTTGCAGCTCATACAAAGGCTCCATTGCTATGTTTCGTGACTTAGCCAGATATGGTATACGGCGCAATTGTGTTGTTCCATTCGGTGTCTCAATCCACCCGCTGTCGCCCAGGGGTTTGGTGATTTCATCAGCATGCGTCGTCTCATCGAGTATCACTCTTCTGGGTATGCCATTCTCCTCGAGCGCATGATCCAGCCACTGTAACACCGCTTTCGTATTGTCGTAACTCCCGCTTTCGTAGATACTGACGAAGACATTTTGCGGTCCGATGTCCTTGGCCAGAGCGACCACAGCAGGTATCCAATGGTCTCGTAGAATGTTTTCGTTGTTCCAGTGGATTCCGACGATGAAGATCTTCTGCTGTCCAAATGCGTTGGGCTCCTCCAAGGAGGCTTGTTCAAGTGCTGAGTGTATATTGAATGCCTCAACCAGGGCAAGGACGACGATGAGGTTTAGAGCTACAATCAAGTAGCGTAGACTGATTCTTCGAAATAGACGACGTCGATTCAATCGCATCAGCAGCATAATTTCATAGAGAACTACCACAGCCAATGACTGCCATACCGCAGGAGGAAATCACCCTTAGAAAGCGCTGAAAGGAGTGATGTCCCTGGAAACCGTTTGAGGCTTGGAGGAAGCCCTTTCAAAATTGAGGGGCCCCGTATTCCATACGTAATGAGGTTTGAAGAATACAGCTGCCTAGGAAATGACCCACTCCAGATGCATCAAAGCCGCGAGGCCCCTAAGCCTTGATGAACTGACTTGAGCGGTGTCCATGGCACCGAGATCCGTAAATCAACAACACCTTGTTCCTTCGCTTCTTGATCTTCAAAGCTAGCTTTTGAGGTCTGGTACGCGAAGGATTTGTCTCACGCCATTGCGAATGTCAGAGGGCAGAACAAGCAACAGGGCACCAACAATCTACTGCCAAGATCATATCGTTGGCAGAAGGACAATGCAATAATGCGAGATGGGATACAAAAGGGGTTGATAGTTTAGGGGGCATTTTCTGGGGTGCCCTGCCAAGCGTGTCAAGCAACGCCGAACTGAGCTTGGGACTCCTATAATAATCATGCAGCCTCGGCAAGAGCTCCTTATAAATTGTCATGTTGACCTGGTTTGCAAGAGCGGAGGCGCTCTTGAGTAGCGAAAGTAATAAGTCATGAGATCGCTAAAGAGAGAAGGATCGATTTTGAACTTGAAACGTACGAGACTACGTAACGCACGAATTAAGTTTACGAAGGCTGTCTTCGCTCTTTTAACTCATCCTCTTTTACGTGCGTTATGCCTGATATGACTATTTTTTGATGACGATTGTGTATCATCCCAAGGAGCAAGGATGAGTTGGGAGGATCTTGCAAGATAGTCGCTTCCCCAGACAGATGTCTTGATATGTTGAGTTGCACATATCCATGACTCGCACAACCTTGATGGCCTCAGAAAACACTTCCATGATGGAATTCAATTTGTTGATGAGCTGCACTGCAATACCACTCCTCAAACCATGACTGCCGCTCTTGCTGCTGCCATTTCTTCCTCTGAAGGCATGTTGACAACCATGAGATACAACACGTTCTGCCGGCATGTTAATCATGCGAAGATCGACGTGAACGATAGACTTACCTTTGCCAACAATTCTTTGTATGTGCGAATTGGTGTGGAAACGATGCCCTTCTTCTCACGTCTTGGACCCTGCTGTCTTTGAGCATTTTCTGCTGCACAGCGGTCCCACTCCGAGCCTTGCTTTTCTCCACGTGCAGCCTGGCCAATAACAGATGCAAGACCCCCAATTACGCCACGCGAGTTGGGACCTGGGATCAGTTCTCCGCCAGAGACGAAAGAGATCAATGATCCGCTGGCTAAGGCAGAACAGGAGAAGACAGCTGTTAGTGAAGAGGGTAATCAGAGCCAGACGCTGGTGTCATCAGCGGACGTGTCTGTCAACTCGAGCAGTGATTGAGAAGAAGGAGTTTGATCGCTACTTTGTCTTTTGTTCAGGAAATTTGGGTATATCTGCAAATTGAATCTCTGATCAAAAATACTCGTCTTGATTGACTCCCTTCATTTGGTTGTGAAGGCGCAGAAAAAGATACATGTAAGGTAGTCAGACGTCTGAAGTGCTTTTCTCGTCGAGGTTCCGCGCAGTCATGCTTAGTCCTTGCTTGCGTTTCGAGAGTTGTACTGGCCACTCTTTCACGCGTCTCACCAAGAGGAATGAGAACTTCACATACTGCTTGCTGAGAGTCCAGAAGGGAACTGTCCTGATTGCAGTGGTTCGTGTTCGATGTTGATGTCAGACGCGTCCAATGTCTCATGGTACCGGGGCTGTTGCTATCATGATGGCTACAGAAGCCATCAAGAGCCGTACGTGGCGCAATCCGCGTGGAGAACGCGTGCGGGGAAAGCTTAAGCGTCATTGAAAGTGGTTCGTGCATGTTGACTGCGGGCGACCACCTGCCTCTTGCGTGTGACCAGGTGCAGGACAAAGGCGTGATTAGTGGTCGAAAAGGAAGGAAGAAGACAAAACCCCGCCCTCGCGCTTGTTTGCAGCTCTCACTGCATGCATGTAATTTCCGACAATTAGACCGATAGTCTGGATAGGGCGAAAGCTACAGTGCGTTACGGGAAGGTGCATTCGAACATTGATATACAAGATGCTGGGATCGCAAGCATTGCAGATGGTGCTCAACTCATCCTGCGGTATGTTGTTCAAGAACACTGCCGCACCCTTGGGCGCCCTGCTGGCCTTTTGTCCCTCTACATTGGTCGCTCAAAACACTGCTTGTCAGACCACGACAGTGCAAGCATCCGTGCCGAATAACACCAATGTCGCCCTGCATTCTTACTCGTACTGCGGTGGCAGCCTGGATGTTTCAGTCTACATCGCCAATGTTAATTACAACAAAGTGGTCACTTTGTACTACACAGACAGCCAGGGTGTTTCTACACCCTTGACATCAGTCTCCCTCGGCTACAACTCGAGTATTCCAGATACCAACTATGAGTTCTGGAGTGCAAATACCCCGGTCTACCTCGATGGCCTCACTGAGCTTTTGAACCTTACCTACCAGGCTACGGACATTGGGCAGACCTATGTACAACAATTGCAGCTCGCTGTCAAGGCCAGTGGCAGCCCCCCTCCTGCTCCTGCGGCCATTCCATCACCTTACGCATCTCCAAGCGGTTTCTCCGATGATATCACTGCCTGGCTGGCTCCCAGCAATGGCTCACAGGCCGACTTCTCGAAGACACACATGTTCCTGAACATCAATCCCGACATTGATGGCGCTGTCAAAGGCACTGTAGTTGCCGCTCGGTCAGGCCCTTCCTATGACCAGAAGCTTCCAGACTACGAATATGATTGGGTCCGCGATTCGTCTTTGACCATGGATGTTGTCCAATCTCTGTACGCAGCATCCAGGGTCGACAAGTTGACCCGCAAGTACAAAGACATGCTCTTCCATTATGCACAAGGTAGAGCTGTCGAACAGACCGATCCGTCGCTCACATTCGCGGGCCTCGGAGAGCCCAAATTCTACCTGAACAATACTGCCTTTACCGGTCCTTGGGGCCGACCTCAGAACGATGGACCCGCGACCGCGGCGATCACACTCATGGAGTTCGCCAATGATTACATGAAAAAAGGTGGAAGCTTGTCTTCTGTCCGCGATCGCATTTATAATTCGACATCCAACCCTCAGGAGGCGCCAGTCCTCAAAGACTTGCTCTTTGTGGCCAGCAACTGGAGCTCGCCCAGCTTTGATCTGTGGGAAGAGGAGGAAAGCACCCACTTTTACACACGTCTCGTCCAACGCCGTGCCTTGGTCATGGGTGCCAAGTTCGCAACCATGCTTGGTGATGGAGCAACCAGCGATACGCTCTCATCTGCTGCCATTCAACTAACTGCCACACTCGACCAGTTCTGGAGCCCAAACAGAAAGCTCATCCTCTACGAGTACGGCCCTGTGTTGCATGGCAAGAGCTCGTTCATCGATATTGCGGTCATCCTCGGTGTGATTCATGGGTATGCTGGTGATGATGTATACTCATACACCAATGACAGAGTGCTCGCGTCGGCTCTGAAGATCTCCACCAGCTTCCTCGATGTCTATCCAATTGCCAATGTAACGAAAGCCTCGAACGGTCTTCCTCTTGGTATTCCTATCGGGTAAGCATCTCGCAGCTGCGATCCAGGTATATGCTGACAAAATCTCTAGCCGTTATCCCGAAGACGTCTACAACGGTGTAGGCACTTCGTCCAATGGAGGGTAAGTCGACTACTCTGAAAAGTGTCGGATAGCATAAGCTGATATGAGAATAGCAACCCGTGGTATTTGACCACCGCCACCATGGCTCAGTACCTCTACTCGGTTGCTTCAGAGTTACAGACCGCAGGCAGCCTGACAGTCAACAATGTCACTGCGCCTTTCTTCGCATACTACGCGCCCGCGGCTGGTCTGAAGCTCTCTAAACCCTACTCTTCCAACACTCAAGAATTTGCCTCTGTAATTGCCAGCTTGAAGGGATGGGGTGACGCATACATCCGGCGCATCAAATATCACACCGCGGCCGGCGGAAACTTGGCCGAGGAGTTCAATCGCAACAATGGTATTGCACAGGGAGCAGCCGACTTGACCTGGAGTTATGCTTCGCTTCTTACTGCTGCTTTTGCCCGTGCCGCTCTATCAGGCGACGAAAGCTACGTCCAGAAGATTGCAGCTCTGGCATATGAATAGTCTACTTGTGTTGCAACGGTTGCATGGATTTGGAATTATGGCATTTGCAGCATCACTCGGTATTGATTGCATTTTCCGTGGCTAGATTTTTCGAGACTGATAGCATTCACCTAGACAAAGACTCTCAAGAATTCACCTAGCATCATCATTGCCATTGCTTGTCCGTATGGCATACTCGTGATTGGAATGTCTTTATAGTGCTGCAGATCACTTCCCATGGCAGTGCCGAAGCTCGTGTTTTGGAGTTCTCCGTCATCGCTAATGTTCCTGATGACAGCCTTTACGGCTTTGAGTGCGACTGCCTCGTATTCTTTGCTGATGTATCGCTTCCGCACGGCTTTCAACATGCCGTATGCAAATCCAGCTGTTGCAGAGGCTTCCTCGTAGCTGCCTTCACTTGTAGGGATGTCGAGGAGTGTACGCCACGTACCATTCTCACCCTGTAATCTTGTAAGAGCTTTACATTGCGCCTCCAGAGTGTCGATGAGATGAGTTCTCAATGCATCTCCCTTCGGCAAGTTCAACAACTCGATGAAGTCTGGAATCACAATTGTCACCCAGCTGTTTCCTCTTGCCCATCTAGCTTCTGCAAAGTTGTGCCCCACACCACCGGGGCTGGTCTCATCGAACTTCCAGCCGTGGAAAAATAGGCCTGTCTTTGTGTCGAACAAGTACTTGATATGGAGCATGAATTGATGTTTTGCTTCTTCGACGTAGTGAGGGCGGTTGAACAAGAGACCGATCTTTGCGAGCGGCATAACAGTCATCATCAAAGTGTCATCCCAGAGCTCATAGTGATTCTCGTGTGAATAAGTGATATGCTGGAAACCGCCGTAGGGTGTGCGCGGTAAATCGTACATTGCCCACTCTGCCCAAGAGTCTAGCCAGGCTTCGTGTGTGGTATCCCGACTCTTTTCATACAGATAGGCTAGTGTCAGGAAAGGCGACATTGTGTTGATGTTCTTAGTAGTGCCTTCGGCGAGGCGACCTTGGAACCATTGTTGAATTACTGACAGTGCGGATGCTGAGCCTGTCAAGGCGTGGTATTGGTACAGACCGTAAAGGCCGATGCCGTGAGTCCATTCCCAATCATTCCAGCCTGGGGTTTGTCAGTGTGCTGACGAGTGAAATAGGTTTGCAGAATTGCCGACCTTTTGTATCGATTATACGACCATCGTCAAGCTTCAGTAGGAAACGGCCAGTTGTGTCTTTGATATTTACGAGATTGTGGATCAACAGCTCAATGTAGCGATGAATGTCGGTGGCTTCATAGCCATGAAGACGCAAGGTAGTAGGCATAGTGGGTTGTTCTTTCTTATCTATCACCAAATCCTCTACAACCCAATGCGAAGCAACGATAAGACAGGACGGGAGCGAATATAACCAGCTTTAGCCAGAAATCATTGTTTATCAAGGTAGCACCTCGCAACAAATATTCCCTCATCGGATGCCGATCTTTCAACATCTTTAGCCCGACCACCCGAGATGACCGACTTGCCAAGCTGAAGGATCGCAACACGACATGCGGTCAATATAACCACACCCCGCATCCTGATTATCCACCAATAACTCGTCTACCTGCGACAACCATGGCGGAACGTGTTCTCCGATCTCGTGTTTCGCATGTCTGACTCGCCAAAGTTGTCTCTCCCCGCTCGCCCGTTGGAATGGCTTTTCTTGTGGCGCTCTTTTGGTAGCAGAAGAGTGTGGGGGACCCCATGGGACGCTCCCTATTCTGGGACAGAGTTGTGGAGGTTCCTTGACAAGCACCATGAAGAGTGTTCAGCCCGGCTTGGCCATGGGATAATGTCCACCGAGTGCAACCTCACGCAGTGATAAAGGATGCTACTGCTTAGGGCATGTCTTTCTGTTCCTGCTCAGCGACCGACCTTTGCCTTGACACTTGTTGAGTCCTGGCCCTGTCTTTACTTGTCACCAACTTTGAAGCAGCCATGTCAAATACCAACACTGCCACAGCTACAATGGAGAAGGACGATCTCGTCCGCCTCGAGACAGTCATGTCCAATGAGGAGAATCTCAAGGGTGACCACATGAACTACGAGCGTGTGGACAAAGAACTTGCCAAATACACAGCTGGCGAGCGCATCGAGATCTCAGAAGCAGACGACAAGCGTCTCAAGAAGATGATTGATCGTCGTGTTCTGGTTGTCATGATCTTGACCTATTTTCTCCAAGCGCTTGACAAAGGAACTATGAGCTTTACCAGTATCATGGGTATTCAGGAGGACTTGCATTTGAAGGATAAGGTATGTCTGGTCTTGACTCTTGGTGGACATGTGCTGATTTCGTATAGTTCTCCTGGTTGACAACTTGTATCTACATCGCGGTCCTATTTGTCGAGTATCCAACCAACTGGATCATCCAACGCGTGCCAATCGCCAAGTATCTCTCAGCCAACATCATCCTTTGGGGTATGGTTCTCGCACTCCATGCAGCAGCGAAAAGTTTTACTACTCTCCTGGTTTGCCGTACCTTCCTGGGTATCTTCGAGGCGGTTTGCCAGCCTGCTTTCCTGATCATGTCATCCCTTTGGTATAAGAGAGAAGAGCAAGCTCAAACTGTCACGTATTGGTACATCATGAATGGTGCTCAGCAGATCGTCGGTGGTCTATTGGCTTACTGCTTCTCTTTGCTTGGCAATAACAGAGCTGTCAAGTCGTATGAGGCTATCTTCATTACTTACGGGTCCGCCTCTGTACTCTGGGGTGTGTTTGTGCTTTTCTGGTTGCCTGACTCACCTATGCGTGCCAAGTGCTTCTCTGAGGAAGACAAGGTAAGCGATTTCTGTCTCCGTACCCGATTCATGCACTGATCGTGCACAGAAACTCATGGTCGAAAGAGTCCGCTCCAACCAGACCGGCATCCAGAACAAAAAGTTTCGTCCCGAGCAACTCAAGGAAGCCCTCACAGATCCTCAAATGTACTGTTACATGTTGATTCAAATCTGCACCACACTGCCCACTAGCGGTCTTGGTGCTTTCGCCAACATTATTGTCAAAGGCTTCCACTTCACAACTCTACAAACACAACTCTTGGCTATGGTACTTGGTGCCTACATCGTTATTGTTTTGCTCTCCTCAACCTGGCTAGTCAAGAAAACAGGCCAAAACCTACTCGTTATGGGCGGCTACGTGATCCCCTGTTTCGCTGGCACAATCGTGCTCATGACTGTCAAAAACACGGATACAGCTACCCAAGCAGGACTGTTGTTTTCATATTACATCGTCCTTTCCTTCTGGGCAGCCCAAACCTTAGCGATGTCAATGCTGTCGCGCAACATCGGCGGCCAAACCAAAAAATCCATTGTCGTGGCTGCGAACTTTGCCGCTTGGGCTGCCGGCAATGCGATTGGACCTCAAGTGTTTTTGGCTTATGATGCACCTCGCTATTTTATTGCTTTTGCTACGCACATGGGGTGTTATGTTTTGCTTGTTATTGTGATTGTGTTTTTGAGATGGTGGTTGAAGAGATGCAATGATAGAAAAGATGCTTTGGCTGCTGCGGGCGTTGGAGAGGCGAGGGATGAGGCTTATACGCATGCATTTGATGATTTGACCGATAGGGAGAATCCCAACTTCCGCTATGTCTACTAGTTAAGGGGTGATGGAAATGGTTGATCATATGTAGACACTGCAAGATTACGCAACAGCTATCTTTCTTTCTGTGACAGCTGTGTACTAGACCTGCTTCTCGCAACAGCCGTAGCATGGACGATCTTTGGTCTACTCAAGCTTCTAGCTCGTTTTACAAAAGTATTGTCATTAAGCAAAGCAACGGCAGAGTCCCAACGGAGTGGGATGTGTCCTTGGGTGTGGATCATTTCTATGGACTGTTTGACACCACCAGATCCCTCCGCTACATATGATTCTCAGAAGGCGAGATGTAACCCTACATCGTCACCCTTTTGGGTGAACAGGTCTTCTCGTCGAGCCTTCGTATATCGTTTTCTTGTGGCTTTCCTTGTCTCTTGCACTGCAGCCATCTTTTAACCAGACTTTCCGCGGCATAACAAGCACTACCTTAGCGTGGGAGGGGTTATTCTTAGTAACAGAATTCGTGGGATTTTGCCACCCCCTCCCGCGAAGTTGACCTCTGATTTCTTCGATTTCATAGCTATCTAGTCGTTATACACCATATAGCTAGCTATTAACGTCTAATTTAAGGTATAATAGCTAAAAGTACTTGCCCTCCTACTACTACTAGCTTCTAAGCGATATTAGAGCTAATTCTAGTGTATAAAATAGGCTTTAACTTATACTATAATAATGCCTCTTAACGATTATAATAAGGACCTTATTAAGGCCATGTTTCGAGATAATTATAATATTAATACTATTTAAAAAGTAGTTCCTTATACTTACTAAACTATACTCTATTATATAGAGAAGAATATTAAGCTCTTTAGTTAGGTCTAGAAGCCTACTAGTACTACTAAGCAATATAGTACTCTAAGGAAAATTATACTAGTTATATACGAATACCTTATTAAACTACTTACTTATAGGAACGACCTATAGTAGGAAAAGCTAGTCTTTAAATTATAGTATAAGTTTAATATAGAGGTTAGTATAATAACTATATTATACCTACTTACTAAAGATAAGCTCTTAAAGAAGGTTAATACTTATATTATAGCTTGTTAATTAACTACTTAGTAAGGTATATACCTTAAGAAACTTTATAATCTAATAGCTCGTAGTCTTAAAGTTAATATCGACCCTCTTAATATAGTTATATTTCTAGATAAATCTATAGTAAGCAAGAAGGTGCTCTTCTATAATAGGTCTTAGAGCTAGATAGGTCTACCTACATATATAAGGTTAGAACTAATAAATAAGATATAGTATTTAGTACTACTAGTACTAGATATCTATAGATACTTACTTAGAGTAATACTTATTATTAAAAAAGTAGTTACCTAAGCAATATATAAGTACTAGCTAGAAGTAGTAGTCTTATCTTAATATAAGCTATTTCTAGAAAAGAGATTAATTATAATTATAGATAATTACTTAACCTACTACTTAGATAAGGTAGTATTAAAATTTAGTATAATTTATATAGAAAGCTAATAACCTTAGATTACTAAACTAGGTTAATAATCTAGTATAATTTTACTTTATCTCCTGCTATATTTACTATACCTTAACCCTATTAAATAGACTTTCTACCTCTTAAAGTAATAGCTATATAGATAGAGGGATCTTATACTAAGGGTCGATAACTTAGATTTAGAAGCATATATAGTATAATAGATACTATATCTCGAGCGCGTAGTCTACTAGGCTCTAGATAGTATTAATATTAAGAACTTATTTAAGAGAAGCTATGTACCTTATTAATTTTAGATACTACTAGCCTTATCGCCGCTATAGTATAGAGTTAAAAAGTTAGAAGTAATAGAAGTAATACTAGGAGCTACCTAGTAAGGGATAGGGTAATGCTAAGGACTTAGCTAATTTAGAGTTAATTATCGTTAGGTTTACTTATAATTATTAACAAACTTTATTAATTCCTTATAGATTACTATATAAAGGCTACTTTACTTAATAATATAAGATAACTACTTATTAGAAGAATTAAATAGTATATAAAGGTTCTAGTAGTCTTAATTAAGTATAACTTTAGCCCTATCGAAGCCTCCTAACTAGTCTAGATAGCTTAGTTTAACACCCTTCTAAAAGGCGTCCTAACTAGTAGTAGTATTAAGCTTAATTAGGATAGGCAATACCTAGCGTATAGTCGGAATAGGTATATAGACCTACTTAGTTATTGCTAATGTCGTTTAAGGCTATAGACTAATATAGAAGTAGTTAATAGTTGCTAGGACTAAGAGTAAAGTTTAGGTCGAAGATCGAGCTAGTTAATATCGCTTTTAAAGCTCTTTAACATGCTACTAGTAATAACGGATAATAAGGTATCTTATCTTATAAGAAGGCTCCTTAAGAGTACTATTACTAGTATTAACCGCGCTATGCTAGGTAGCAGCGATGTTAAAGAGAATCTTATAGTAGTATCTATAGTATACGAAATAAGCGAGGCCTCTATAAGTAGCTATCTTATACTAATTTAGTATAAGGTAGGCCTAATACTAAGTAATTCGGTCCTAAAAGAGTATATGCTCTTTAAAGTAAGTAGAAGTCTATTATTAAGAGCGCTCTAAGCGACGACTTTAGAGCTAAGAAAAGAGAACTTATACTAGTACTATAGTATTATATAAAGGTAGTAGCTCTAGCACTAGCTTAAAGCTATTAGTAGTCTATATAGACTTAATTATAAGGGATAAATCTTTTATGCTAGTACTAGCATTATGTTTTATAAGGTTAATAACCTTTTACTAGTAATTAGAGGCCTCTTTAAGGTATACTAAAGTTACTATCTTAGATTAATAAATACCTTAAGTACTAGTTAATATTAAGATAGCTTAGATCTTCTAAGGGTAAAAGAGCGCAATCCTCTAGCCTTCTAACTAAGGGATAATAGTAGTATTAAGCTCCTTAAGAACCTTTAGCTACCCCTTATTAGTAGTAGTAAGGCTAGTATTGTCGTTAGATACCTTTTAATGTACCTAATAACTATTAAATTAAAGCTTAAAAGTAACTAGGATAGTAATAGATAATAAGGTTATAGTAGCTAAATTTAATAATACTTTAGCTATAAGGACTATTAGTCTAACCTTTTAAATAACCTTAAGAGGTTTAGTAACCTTAGTTAAAGTAGTTATTAAGTAATAGGTAGTTAGGATTAACTTTACTAATTTTGCTAACTAATGCATAAGTAGCTTTGCGACTAGTAGGGCCTATATCTTAGTCTTCTTAGAGGTATTTAATATGCGCTTTTTTCCTAATATGTTTATAGCATCTAAAAGTAGTTTTCTACTAGAGGATACCTTTTTTAAAGATAGTTATAGTAGTTAGGTAGTAGTATAGTATTTTATTATAACCCGACGCATAGTAGATTTAGGAAGTATTTGTTAATTAGTAAGACAAACTAGCGCCTTACTATATATAGAACGGCGAGGGATAGCTAAGAGACCTTCTACTATATTGTCTATAAAGTATATAAGCTTCTTCTCTATATATAGCAATACTAGTATAGGAGGTTAAGAGGGTAGAGCGTCTAAGAGGTCGGATTCGGCTTTAGGTATGTTTATAGCTTTAGACGCTAAGCGCGTATGCATATAAGGTCCGGTATTGTTAATAGCACTAATTATAGCTTTAGTAGCTTAAGAGGCGTCTATATTAGGGTTTGGATTAGTATAATTTGATGTGGTTATGGTATAGTATAGCTAATAAGAAGCTAGAAGGCCTATCTGAGCGTTTAACTTCGTAGGAGGGGGTGGCAAAATCCCACGAATTCTGTTACCAAGAATATGCGATGTCACCTCGGTACATTGATACACCGAACTATCAACGTGAAGGAGTTGTGATGTGGATGGATCTCCATCTCCACACGCGGGCTAAAGATGTTTTGCGAAGGATTGCTCGGGGTGTGGAGGGTGAAAAGATGGGGTAAGGATGGAGACGAGAAGGCGATCTCTCAGAGGCAGCGGTCATAAAGAGTGATGGTGCAGAGCAAAAAGATCACAGCAGTCTCTAGCGAAGATTGGGACTTCTAGATTTACAATGATGGCTGCGAAGTGGAGATGGCAGAGCTTTCTGCTCTCATGCCTTCTACTCCTTGTCACACCCATCCAAGCCTTCCTGAACGCAACCGAAAATGCTGAGGCTCTGGCCATTTCCAACTCCCATCTCTACGCCTCCGTCAACAAATCCACTGGCATCATGGATGTCCTCAGTCTCGACGGTCAAGATCTACTAGGCACGAAGGAGTATAACGAAGTCACTCCGGGAGGCAACGCAGCAGGGCAAAATGGCATCGGACCATACTTAGATTGTTATTGTGTACCTGCTGGCTCCTATACACCCGGCAAATACGCGACCTTCAAGTTATTCTCTGGAGACGATTCAAGTGGTGTGCCGTATGGTGGCATCCTCATGTCGGAGGTATATCCTTTGACTGGACAGATATTAGAGCAGTATTGGTTTATGAGGGAGTGTGAGACGGGGTTGCATACTTTTTCTCGGCTTGCTTATTATAATGAGACGAAGCCATTTCTGAGGTTTGTGGAGATGTGATGTTTTCGCTGTTGCTTTACTGATGCTTTTGGCAGGAATTTGCAAGAGTTTAGGACGTTGTTTAGACCAACTACTCCGTTGTGGACGCATTTGTCGACTAATGAGAAGATTCATGCGCCCTTGCCTTCCTCGGATACTCTGAAGTATTCAAGAACGGTTCAGGATGCGACGTGGTACATTGGCAATTACACCGAGGCACCATATGTCGAGCAGTTTGCCGACTACTTTACCAAATACACCTTTTCGGACGCTTGGAGAGACCATAAAGTACACGGAATATACGGTGATGGCTCAAACAGCAAAGATGGCTCGACCTTTGGCGCTTGGTTGGTGATGAATACTGTTGATACTTACTTTGGCGGGCCAACACATTCTGATCTTACGGTAGACGGCATTGTGTACAACTATATCTGTGAGTCAGTAAATCTCTCGCACATTGCATATCATCCTTACTCTGTATAGCCTCGAATCACCACGGAGACAACGTTCCAAATATCACCACTGGCTTCGACAGAACATTTGGACCTCAATACTTTCACTTCAACAAAGGCTCAAACACAACCACCCTGGCAGATCTACGTGCAGAAGCCGAACATTTTGCCTCTCCAACCTGGAATACTGCTTTTTATGACTCCATAGCTCATCTTGTTCCAAACTATATCCCCTCGACACAGAGATCCACCTGGAGGGGGCGCATCAATTTGCCGAGAGGCGCCAAACGCCCCATTGCGGTGCTCGCCCAGAATGGCGTCGACTTCCAAGATAACGTTCTAGACACCAAAGCATACCAATACTGGGGCGACATCGACGAGAAAGGTAAAGTAGAGATCCCAATGGTCAAGCCAGGAACCTATCGTCTTACGGTCTATGCCGACGGGATATTTGGACAGTACATTCAGGATAATGTCGTTGTCGCGGTTGGCAAGGTGACTACAAGCAGAGCGAAATGGCGTGAGGAATCTGCCGGCAAAGAATTGTGGCGCATCGGTACTCCTAATCGCAGTAGTGGAGAGTATAGGCATGGTGATCATCCCGATCCCAGTAAGCCTCTGCATCCACCTGAGTACAGAATGTATTGGGCCAAGTGGGATTTTCCAACCGATTATCCTGATGGGGTCACTTTCGAGGTCGGTAAGAGCGATGAAAGCAAAGATCTCAACTATGGTATGTTTCGCTGCTGGTGTTGTGTTTCTCGTTTCTGACTCCATTCCAGTTCACTGGAGTGTCTTTGGCGGATACGCGAGCTCAATCAGGCCAGAGCCATACTATGACAATGTCAACAACTGGACTGTATTGTTTGATGCCAAGAAGGACGACATCAGCAAAGTGAAGGACGCGACCCTCACTGTAAGTCATTGATCCAAGTGCTGGAACCTAGGATGACCAGCAGGCTGATTGCAAACAAAAGATACAACTAGCAGGTGCGAAAACTGCTGCCGGTAACACAGACAACTGGAACGCAACACAGCCATGGAACAACCTGCCTTTGACAGTGGTCATGAACGGCATTGAGCTTGAGCCATGGGACATTCCGTAAGTCGTTGATGCGAGACCGAGGCGAATGTTGTGCTGACATGGATGTCAGTTGGAATCAGAGCAGTTCATGCGCTACCAGATCGGCGGTGACTTGTTATGCTTTGGCACACAAGTATGAGTTCGACGCCGATCTCCTGAAAGAGGGTCAGAACAAGATGGTACTGAGCTTGCCATTCAACGCGACAGACTATGAGAGTGCTGTACTTCCGAGATACACATATGTCCAGTACGATAGCTTGCGACTAGAGGTCAAGTGATCAGGCTGTGGAGAGGGGCTGTATCGATGTCGCCGTTGTGGGTCCGTCCTGGGGTGGAGCGAGCCAGTAGTCTAGAAAGTGTATGCAGGTCACATCTCATGACACTGATCCACTGTGAACCCCAGTCTATTGTGGGTTCACTCTGATTGATCCGGATTGAATGCGCTGCGTTTACAGACGTACGTGGCCAATGGTAATGGTAGATGCCAGTTGCTGAGAGGGATCGCGATCAAGACTTGTGCAGTGGTAAACATAAGGTTCGTGGTCGCTTCAAGGGGCGACTTCGGTCAGCAGTGAGCTTTGCAGACTCCGTTACAGACGCGGTTAGATTCAGGGCAATGTCCCGCTATACAAGTCATGGGTTGCAGCTGAGGAAGACGCGATTGATTCAGTTGCGTGATGGTCGGCTGGCATGACCTTTTGGAGAAAAAGGATCTCCTTTGCCAAGTGCCGTGACTGGAGTGAATCTTGCCGATCCAACTGCCTGCAAACTGGGTGCTCCTTCCTGTTTGATCAACGACAAATTATGAGCACTCACCATCGCAATAATGCTGCGTCAATCGCATACAAGCATGGTAGGATGACAGCTGCATGTACACTTGATAAATCCCTGGCATATGGCGGACAAGGGTCCGTACCGAGCCTCTGTCCGCCGAGCCTCAACTTTGCATTCGGAGCCGCATGGGAAGCACAACGCAGTCGATATCAGCGAGTGAAATAGGATATCGAAAATACTAACTTGGCCCATCGTGCCAGATAGTGGAGCTGTTCTCACGAGGCAGCAACAAACATTTGGCATGCTTCTGTTCGCGAAGCTTGAGTTGAGATTAGTCACGTTGGCACCAACATATCGGCAGCGATGCGGAGACAGCCTCCGTGCGGCTTGATGGCGTGGTGTGGCTTTTGATGGCTCGAAACAAGCTAACGGTCAATCTACGTATGTGCGACTGAGGACGTGAGGCAGCAATAAGGACCACGGCCTCTGAATCAGCTCGCATGCGAAAAACAAATCTGTTTGAACGATATACACTGGCTGTAGCAACAAGTCACGGGTTGGAGATGTAAGTAGAGACACGGCTCTGAGATCGAATCGAGCACGAGCCTTTACCGCAGGACAGCGTCGATCTGAAAGCGCACAGGGACGTTTGCACATAGCATATCTACGGCTGGTTGTAGGATCAGCATTCAACAGCTCTCGAAGTACATGGGCGTGTCGCTCTCCAAGACTATATCGATACTTACGGATGTCGAGAGATTAGTGGCGCGTCCGGAGAGTCAGTAAGTGATACAAGACGGCATCCGCATCGCAAAGGTATGAACGGAGTTAGGAGATACATGTTGGAGATGCACGCTTTGCACCGCTTTGTTTCGGATTCGCAGCGGGATCCATCTGGGGAGACCCACTTTATGTGGTTGCGACTCGAACGCTTTCACATGAGCCATGTCCAAATCTGCGATCCGTCTTGTTGTCGACACACGGTTGCAAGATGGAAGATGGCGGCGGGCCGGACAGGGGGAGTCTATGTATGGACCAGTATCCAGGGATATGTGAAAGCCGTTGGATCGAGTTATGCAGCGGGCTAGCTTAGTGGCGAAATGCCAAAAGCTTCGTATGGTCTAGTCGTGGCTTTTTGGCATCAACCTTCGATGCTAAACATGGTGGCTGCCCCGCCGGTTGCGGCTCAACTTCTTGCTCTTTCCTTTGCCATTGCAATTGCTGTCGTCGTCGCTGCCGTTGTCGTGTCTTGAGCAAGAGCAGCCAGCATACGCCTCTCGCTTTGTATGCGGTCGACTTGTGCGATTGACTGACGCCTGGTTTCGCAATGGCTACCGCGTGCGGGAGGCCCAGCCTTCTTCTCCAGCCTGCCCAGGATGACGACGTCCAGAGGGAGCGCGAAACATACAAGTCAGTTATTACCGCTGTCACATCTCTCGCGTTGCTCGGTCACTGACGCCAATGCGACTGCCAGATACTACCAACCGCTGCAAGACCTCCTCCAAGCCAGTCAATCCACCTCCGCTCCCCCCTCGCAACCAGATCGCGCCTTGACGGCCTTTGCTCAATTGGCTGCCTTTCGCCTCGGTGCCCGCAGAACTTTCGTCTCCTTGATCGACCGCAAATACCAGTTACGATTTCTCCACCTTCCGCCCATTGCCGTCCACGCTGACTCTGAAAAAGATATGTCCTTGCTGAGGCTACAAAGACCCTCTCTCTTGAGAAGAACACCGTTGATGACGCCAAAGACAATCTATGGGTTGGTGCCACTGCCTTTGAGAGACGAGCAACTCCATGCGAGTATGCCGCTGGTCTGCTTGTTGCCCCCGATCTCCTCGTCTCAGAGGACAAGGGAGATGTCGTAGTCTTTCCAGATTTGTCTGAGCACCCATTGTTCAGGGACCACATTTTGGTCACCGAGGTTCCTCATGGTAAGCCAATTGCAACCAATACATCAATTTAGATCTCTAGACTAACATTTTGCAGGTCGATTTTACGCTGGCGTGCCTATCATTTCACCAAACGGCTACAACATTGGGGTCTTCTGTGTCTTGGACGACAAGCCCAGAGCAGATGGTCTTAGCACGACCGAGATTGGCTTCATGAAAGACATGGCCGTCACCATCATGAATCACCTTGCGGTATGGTCTTGCATCATCTGTATATCTGTATATCATTTTCTAATTGCTGAACCAGATGGTCAGAGCCACAGCCGAGCTCAATCGTTCCCAGAACATGGTCCAGGGCTTGGGACAATTCGTTGATGGTAAATCTAGCATAAAAGATTGGTGGAAAGGTCTAAATCAAGCCGAGTCCGATCGTCCTCGGTCAAGAGCTGGATCAGAGCGTAACAGTCGTAGCGAGACCAGGTCTCTGAAGTTTCCCTCAAGACACCTACGCGCATCTCCCACACCAACGCATTCACCTGCTGTGAGTCCAGGGCCTGGGGATGCTCCAGGACAAGAAGACGGCGCACCTGGCGCTCCAATCATCTCCCCATCCACCACACCACTGCAGGAAACTCAACAACCTTCAGAAGAGGCATCGGTCGCCAATCGATTGCAAGAGGATTCAATCTCTCCCGACATCAAGTCAACTTTCCAGCGAGCTGCCGAGATTATTAGAGAATCTGTCGATGTCGATGGCGCCATTTTCCTGGACGCCTCTATTGGATCGTTTGCTGGACTAGTCGACGGTACTCAACCAGCCGAAGGCTCAATGACCCAGTCTTACGCCGAAATATCTTCGTACTCGATCAGGACCAGCGAAAGCACGCTTGGTAATGACGAAAAACATTGTATTGTTCTAGGCAGCTCACTGGCTACCTCCACCAAACGCAGATCTTCCCACATGGCACCAGTCCTGCCTCAATCTGTCAGTGAGAGGTTCCTACAAAAATTGCTTTCGAAGTATCCAAGAGGAAAAATCTGGAGTTATGGTGATGAGGATTACTCGGAAAGTTTCGTGGACTCTCCGAGAAATGCCGAGTTTATTAACCGTCGAGGTGAGCGCTGGAAGGAAAGGCGAATGCTCCGAACGCTCTTTCCTGGCGCGCGCAGTCTGGCTCTTGTGGGTATGTGGGACCCTCACCGCAGCAGATGGTTCGCAGGAAGCATTCTTTGGACATGCAACCCGACGCGTATCCTGTCAACTGACAGCGAACTCAATTACATGACTGCGTTCGGCCAATCGGTCATGTCAGAGATTGCTAGGATCGATGTAAAGATGGCGGACAGAGCTAAAGCGACGTTTATCAGTTCAATATCTCACGAGTTAAGGTAAGTATGCTCGCCGCGTTCTGGCCCTTTCTCGGTGCTAACCTTGTCAGAACGCCTCTACACGGAATCATGGGTAGCTCCGAATGTCTCCAAGGTACACCCTTGGACACTTTCCAGTCCAGTCTGATCAACACGATTGAAACTTGCGGCAAAACTCTGCTCGACACTTTCGATAACCTCCTGTCCTACGCCAAGATTAACAATCTCAGCAACTCGAACTATCGAAGACCCTCTGTCTCTTCGACACGAACCGAACGCAATGGGGCCGAAACGTCCACAACTTCGGTGGATCTCAGTGTCTTGGTTGAAGAAGTGGTCGACACGGCATTTGCAGGACACGAATTTGTACGCGTCACACCTTTGAAGACCGGAATGACTACTCATGGAGTCGTTTCTGTACACTTGACTACTGCGCAACCTGCGAAGGGGCTCGAAGCGATTACGGTTCTTCTTGAATATGATACAACCTCGAATTGGGTCTTCACAACCCAAGCTGGTAGTTGGATTCGCATTGTCTTGAACCTGGTCGGAAACAGTCTCAAATACACTCAGAGAGGTCGTGTGACAGTGCGGCTGGAATCTAGGGCTTTGCCAGATTCGTCATCTGACGAAGACGTGGAAGTTGTTCTCACAGTCACCGACACCGGAAAAGGTATGTCGGAAGACTTCCTGTCACAGAGTGTCTTCTCTCCTTTCGTGCAAGAGGATCCCTTGTCGCCCGGTACTGGATTGGGTCTCAGCATTGTCAAACAAATCGTCACCGGCATGGGCGGTCAAATCAGGGTGGAGAGCAAAAAAGGAGAAGGAACCAAGTTCTCGGTCGCGGTGTGTATGACGCGTGCCGATTCTCCAACGGAATCAGACAAGTCTTCTGCACTAGGCGATATCGCCGTCAAGCTACGAGGCAAGCGTCTGAACATGATCGTTCCAGAGGAAGAGCATGACGAGGTTCAATTCGCCGGCCTTTGTAGTAAATGGTTCGGCGTCCCTGTCCGATGCACATCAGAACCAGAAGAGGCGGATATATATGTTGTCCTGAAGAAGCATACAAACGCCCTGATCAAGCAACTTGCATTCAAGCCTGCAACCGCCAATCCTATTGGTGCAAAGCCGGTCATTGTGTTGTGCAAAGATCTTGCCTCTGCGAACGCGCTTCAATCCTCGAGATCCATGGCTGCCATCAGCCCTCACATGGAATACATGGCACAACCACTGGCACCGAACAAGATTGCGAAGACACTAGTTCAGTGCTTGGAGCGTCCCAAGTGCGCTACTCCAGAAACGCCAGCAACTCCCGCTTTGCCACTTTCTCGCGCAGCAAGCATTTCGTCACAACGTACACGAGATCATCGAGCTGGCTCGACCATCTCGCAAAATAGCACAAACAGCAACCCTGAGGTAGTACTCTATACTCCAATGGAGGAAAAGACACAGGAAATGCTCATGGCTAAGGTGCGACAAAGCGTCGAGGCCAATCGTCAAGTAGACACACTTGAAGCTCAGAAGCAGGCACTGATGCCCAATGTCCCTGCGCCTGTTCCGGGCGTATCCGTATTGCTCGTTGATGATAACAACATCAATCTAAACCTACTAGCCACTTTCATGAAGAAACAACGGCATGCATACGATACCGCCACCAATGGTCTTGAGGCTTTTCAGGCATATCAAGCGCATATCGATCCCACACGTCTTCCCGCAGGCAGCGAAAATTCACTCCTCTTACAAAAGCAGCCTCAACTAACGGCACAGTCCTTCGACTTTGTCCTCATGGACATCAATATGCCCGAGATGGACGTAAGTATCAATGCTCGCAGAACATCCTCAAAGACTTCAGCTAATCAGTCTTCCAGGGTCTGGAATCAACTCGTCGCATACGAGCTTTCGAAAGGGCAAAAGGATTGCGTCCCGCAGTCATTGTCGCACTCACTGGTATGGCATCTGCAAGCGTACAGCAGGAAGCATTTGCCAGCGGTGTTGATCTCTTTATGACCAAGCCTGTGCGATTAAAAGAGCTCACGAGGATTTTTGAAGGACATGGCAAATAGCTTGCCGAGAGGGAAAAAAAGAAGAAAGAAGAAAAAAACATAAAGACCGCAAATACATCTCACGAGAAGAAGCATGTACATAGACCTTATGATATAAAAGTGCTTGAGACATCAGACTGCAGTATCTTCCAGGGCCAGTCTCTTCGACACCGAGACCTTCTATGTGCTAACGCTGATGTCATAACCCTGCCCCTGACTCTCGGAGACAGACTTTATACTCATAAACATGCCATGTGCCTGATCCTGCTTGTCGAGTAGTATCAGTATGCTTGCCGAATGCTTTGCTTCGCGTGTCTGCCAGTGCTTTCTTCCAGGCCCATAGTCTCAAGCATCGCTTATCTTGAAATGACATATCGAGGCGTGAAACATTATTTATCATTTCCGGCAGAGCTTGAAATATGGGAAATATCCATCCACACAAAGGTATCGTGGCCAGGGAAACAGTTCATTGAGTCAGTACAGCAATACCTCGAAGACCTAAAGCTGACTGTTTTCCTCCTCTTTTTCTTATCTTATGCCGCCTTATCTCCCTCTTCCCCAGCAAACTCCACCAAAGCAGTACCAGCCTTACACAAATCGCCGGCCTTATGCACAACCTTGGCAATAACACCATCGTGAGGAGCTCTAATAACCGTCTCCATCTTCATACTCTCAATAACGACCAGAGCTTGATTCTTCATAACAGATGCACCTTCTTCTACCTCCACACGCAGCACTTTGCAAGGCATAGGTGCCAAAACGCTGTTTGCAACGTCTTTGAGTCCAAGGGCCTTTTCTGCCCATTTGGGTACTGAAAGCTGAAGGCGGTATTGACGGCCTTGTTGGAAGAGGATTAGAGTGTTGGTGTCAGGGTCGCGGATTAGTCTTGTTTCGAGTCTGGTGTGGGGGTAGAAGGATTGAAGGATGTTGGTGGTGGGGTCGAGTTTGCTGGTCACTTGGATGGCTTGTTGGTCTCCCACTGAGACGGAGAAAGTGTGCGGGCCTATGTGCTGTACGTGCGCAGTAATAGACGATGCGCTACTACTGTTGCCGTCTGCTGGAATTTCCACCAGGTCGAAAGTTCTTGGGCCGGATAGTCCAGTGTTGAAGCCGATGGTCTGAGAAGATAAGATGGAGTCATTGCCGCTTAGCCCTTGCTCGCCAATGTACAATCCAATGGCTGCTTGCGTCCAGGTTTCATGTAGAATTTCGACTCTGCGGAACAACTCCTCTTTGTTCTTCTCAATGTAGCCGGTCTCGACTTCGCCGGCAACGAATTTTGGGCTGACGCACATACGCTTGACGAATTCGATGTTGGTGATTGGTCCCGCAATCTCATACTCTTCGAGGGCTGTCTTCATCTTCTGCAGTGCTGCGTGCCTATCTGGACCCTGGATGATCAGTTTCGCGATCATTGGGTCATAATGTGAAGTGACTTCATCTCCGACAGCGAATCCTGCATCAATCCGCACGGTTTCGGTGATTTCTGGCGTTCTTAGATGAAGCAGCTTGCCAGAGTCCGGCACGAAGTTCCTATTGCAGTCAGACTTGCTCAGTCAGTGTAAAGTTCTGTACTCACATGTCAGGGTTCTCGGCATAGATGCGGGCTTCGATTGCGTGACCACGAGTCTTGATTCTTTCGTGTACTTCTTCTTGAGTGAGAGGCAACTTGCCTCCTTCTGCGACAATAATCTGCCAATGCACAAGATCTTCACCAGTTACCATCTCCGTGACTGGATGCTCGACTTGTAGACGAGTGTTCATCTCCATGAAGAAGAATTCACCTGTAACGTTATCGAAGATGAACTCAACAGTGCCAGCGCCTTCGTAAGCTACAGCAAGAGCAGCAGATCGAGCCTTGTCCCAGAGGTCTTGTCGTAACGCTTCGTCTAGATGTGGTGCTGGTGACTCTTCAAGAATCTTTTGATGTCTTCTCTGGATACTGCAATCTCTCTCGCCTAGGGCAACACAGTTTCCATGCTTGTCTGCAAAGACTTGGACCTCGATATGGCGTGGTGTGGTGATGTATTTCTCAACCAGCATGACATCGTCACTGAAGGAACTCATGGCTTCAGATTTTGCAGAGGCGAGTTGATCCAAGAAGTCATCAGGAGATCTAGAAATACGCATACCCTTACCACCTCCACCTTTGACAGCTTTCAGCAAGACAGGATATCCGATTTGTGCTGCTTGGTCTTTAAGGAAGTTAGGGTCTTGATTTGTGCCATGGTAGCCCGGAATACAAGGAACGCCAGCCGAAGTCATGATATCCTTGGAACGGCTTTTGTCGCCCATTGCCTCGATAGCTTTCCATGGAGGTCCGATGAATTTGAGTCCTGCTTCAGTACACTTTTTAGCAAAGGCTGCGTTTTCACTGAGGAAACCGTAACCAGGATGGATAGCTTGACATCCGTGATCGCGAGCGGTCTGGATGATTCGGTCGCCATTGAGATATTGACTAGGGTCACTGAGATTGACAGCAAAGGGAGAGCTCAAGGCATGTTGACTATGTGCATCTGGGTCGGTATAGAGAGTTGTCGTCCTGATGCCATATTGTGCAGCTGTCTTTCCAACTCGAAGAGCAATTTCTCCTCTGTTGGCGATTAAGATAGATTGGAGTGGTTGTCTCTCTGGTCCCTGTGTTGTTGTAGTAGTCTTTAGTCGTTTTGTCACTGCAGGGATGAGGCCGCGATGGCCTCTGGTATGGCGGAACATGTTGTTTAATAGATTCAGATCACAGATTTGATAACTTGACAAAGTGGTACCCAGCAACGCAATAGCATGAGTTGATGAAGGTCGGGAACGGAGAGTACGCCGAGGGTAACCGCAGGGCGCCGTGGGGGCACTGCGGGGTCACGCTACCTGCTCAATGGGGAATATTCGGCAGCATGTGACCATTCCTGCTCTTTCCCCTGAGGACATCGGGCACAGCAGTCATGAAGCGCATTGGCTTCACGATGGGAGCCTTTTCTGATATCGAGAAACGGCATGAACTTCCAAGTTGTGTGCAGCAAAGAGGACCCAGCAGCCGCACACCAGCCAGCCACGTCATCATCCCGCAGTATTGCCGTATAACCATCTCTACAATCGCCCACAGCGATGACATTCTTTTCCATGACTTGTGCTCTTGGATTGCGACAATCAGCGTACAGTCTGAAGCTCTCCAAGATCCAGTACAAGGACTGTCGAGAAGAACGTGTTATCATGAACCCTGCCCATTGGCCTAGGACAAATCTTGGTTCTTTCTGAGCGCCTAGGCTTGGTCTCTTGGTTAGAACACCTTTCTCTTGGTCGAAACACTCTACCAACACCGATATGCCACCGCGTCACGCACGTGTTGCAACGTTGGTAAGATTGTACAGATTCCTCTTGATATTGGCAGCTTCTTGACAAGACCGCCAATGTCCTGACCCACAGCATGCGAGAAGAGGACGAAACATTGCTTCTTAGAACGTCTGCGAAGAGTATTCAGCATGCTAATTCATATAAAACAATCACGCTGAATGGGCAAAGGTAGGTCTCTGTTCGTTAGAGTAATTCTCGTTCTATCTCTGCGCTTGCTTCGTGCAAGATCCACTACCTGTCATGGCGCCACCACCAATCACTGCCAGATATGACTGGATCCTCGCTATCACAACCATTGCCTTCATCTTCAGCGCATTTGGCAATGGAGCCAACGATGTCGCCAATTCGTACGCTACCTCCGTCGCTGCCCACACCCTGACGATGCCTCAAGTCGGTGTTCTGGCAACCATAACTGAATTTGTGGGAGCTGTTGGTCTCGGTGCTCGTGTCACTTCAACCATCAAGAACAGCATCATCTCCATCGATCGCTTCGAGGGCAATCCTGGAGCTCTTATGCTTGCTATGGGCTGTGCAGAGGTCGGAAGCGCTACATGGCTGATGGTTGCAACTAGTCTCGGCATGCCAGTTTCGACCACGCAAACAGTTGTTGGAGCTCTTGTTGGTGTCGGCTTCGCTAGCAGCAGTTCTATCAAATGGGCCTGGACTTCTGGAAGTGTATCGCAAGTGGCAGCAAGCTGGGCCATTGCACCATTGATCGCGGCTGGCTTCAGCGCCATCATTTTCGCATCAGTCAAATATACTGTTCTTCAACGCACCGAGTCTTTCACGTGGGCGATGCGTTTGATACCCTACTATTTGGCTCTGACTGCTGCAATCTTGGCACTCTTTATTGTCATTGAGACTCCAACTGCTCCGTCACTTGAAGAATTCGGTGCTGGGAAAGCAGTAGGCATCATTCTGGGCGTTTTCTTTGGAGTTCTCGCTATTGCTTATGTTTTCTTTTTACCTTACTTCAAGAGACGATTGGTCATGAAGGATGCTCGTGTCAAGGCATGGCATATCCCGCTCGGTCCACTCTTGTTGAAAGATAACCCACCACTGTACTTCCCAGGCAACGCTGATGGTGGATACATCGAAGAGTACCAGACAGCAGGAAAATTCTTCAACGACACACCCGAAACCAGTCCAGAGATCAAAGGAAACAGCCCTCAATCTTCACCGCAGCAAGATCGAGAAAAGGCCTCACCAATACTCGGAGATTCTTCTTCTGCTGAGAGAGGCCTGCAACAGAGTCAACCTGACATACGTAAACGACACATAGGCCCACACGAACGGTTCCTGGATACTCATAAACATCTCTCCATCACCCACCCTCAACGCTTGTGGGGATACGTCAAGTTTGGCCTTCTTCAAGGCGTCACCCGCGATGTAACCACCCACGATAGCGTTGCCATGCGCGCCATACACGCGCGAGCAAATAGATACGATCCCAGAGTTGAACATCTGTGGACGTACTGCCAGGTGGCTTCAGCCATGATGATGAGTATCGCGCATGGTTCGAACGATGTAGCCAATGCTGTTGGTCCTTGGGCTGCTGTGTACCAGACCTATCAAGAAGGCGAAGTGGCGACTGAATCGCCCACGCCTGTGTGGTTTTTGGTTGTTGCTGGGTTTCTCTTGGGTGCAGGCTTCTGGTGCTATGGTAAGTAGGCCCTGTTTTCTTAGACTAGGGTCATTGTTAACAGGACTAGGGTACAAAATCATGCGTGCCATGGGCAACAAAATCACTCAAATGTCGCCGAGTCGTGGTTTTGCTGTTGAACTCGGTGCAGCGGTCACAGTAATGCTGGCTTCAAGATTAGGTCTGCCGGTATCGACTACTCAGTGTCTGACCGGAGCAGTCATGGGAGTTGCGCTCATGAACTATGACTTGAAGGCAGTGAACTGGAAGCAATTGTGCTTTATCTTTATGGGGTGGGTGTTAACGTTGCCATGTGCTGGTCTTGTTGCTGGGCTTTTGTGTTTGATGGCTTTGAATACTCCTCATTTCTAGGTCGCTACTTGGGATGGTCTTGGTGTCACTCTCAGAGTCGACATGTTGGCTTCTAATGAATACACATTATGGAATCATAGTCAATGATTGCGCTTCATCCAAGCATGAGAATAATGTTGGTTTTCTGCAAGTCCCAAAACGCCATCATTTCATCATTTCAATCAACATGAATAGGTCCCGGTCGATCATAGGAAGCCTGTGTCTCCTCGGGTGTCATCTCTCTTCCCGGAGTCCTTTCATCCAACACTACTTCCGGCAAAAGCTCATCAGGCAATATCCAAGCTTCATCCATAACCTCACTCGACGCATCTTCTGACGCTGGGCCTTCAGACTCTGCAGCATACCTCCTCTCCTTGATCAACCTACACTCCGCAAACACTTGTTCCGTATCATCTCTCCACTCCCCTTTAGTCCTTAAATGCCAAGCATCAGCTGTAAGCAGTGTAGGATACTTGACATACAGATCCACAGGAGTATAGCGGCCTTCTTTTTCTCCGGTCCCCTAGACATGAGCTCTTCCCGTGTGCAAGGTCATTTTATCCATACGCGTGAAGTGCAAGATCAAGTCCCAGACAAAGGTAATGAACCATAAGATGAGGTTGGCGAGGTCAACCCAGACTACATTCTTCATGCGTATTTGACCGCCTTGGTGGGGCGTGGGATGGTCGTTGATGTACATTTTCCCGAAGATGCCAAAAACAACGGCCCATAGTATGCTACAGGTCGCTCAGTGATCAGTACAATCTCTCCAAGAGTTTGTAGCAGCAAAAAAAAGAAGGGTCCAAACTTACACCATGACGGCATCCCAGAAAAACCTGAGCGAGAACTTGAACAAGAAGAAGAAGACGCTGATGGCAGACAGCGCGGCGACAACGACTGCATAAGTCCATTTCGGGTCTGCGTAGATGTGCGCTCTTCTGGCATTATTCAAGTCGTAGCCGTAGAGTCCTGCGACGGTGAGGGCGAGGACGAATTGGAAGAAGCGGATGGTGAAGCGTATGTATCCTCCAAATGAGGAGCGGTCCTTGAGTGATTGGAACATTGTTGCTTGAGTCTGTCCAGCGATATTGCTGCTGAGAAGAATATCGTTGTGCTGATCTGGATGGATAGATGGATGGTTGGGATTTCTCAGTTGTCGATGATACCTGGATCCGTAGTGCGAGGAAGGTTCGATGGAGGAGAAAGGGCAAAGCAAGGAGCAGAGCAACAAAAATGGCAGTAACCACTCTGGCACGTGTGACCAATACACAAAGGAATGCCAACACAGTAAAACGCAGATTCGTAATTCCACACTCTCTTTAAATCTTTGTGTTTCCAGAAATTATCGTAGAGATCCGGAATCATATGCAACAGTGTTGAAGGCAAAAAGGATGTGTTTTGTATTGTCAAGACTTGCTCTCGAGAATCATGTGGAAATAAAATCCTACCGTCGACAAGGTATTTATCTACTGGTTCCGCATGCATACAAGCATGGTCAGGTCAGTCGTGTTTAGGCGAGACCGTTATGTCAGAGGCTGGCTGAATATCAAGACCCTGATTTATTCTTTGTTTACAGACAAAACTTGGCAGGCCGACCACTGATTGGCTGCTTAGTTGCACACCATGATGGTCGATGCAGAAGATCATTTTCTGACAGCATACAAGAAACAGGAACCGAGACAATGCTTAACTCGACTTCCGAGATAGGGCCTCTGTGCTGAAACCTGTGTGACGATGATTTGGACCGCCTGAAACTCCCCAGCTAGCCCAAACAGTATACATCTCAAAGAATGGACCCCAAACACCTAATACATTTACTTTCTGGCTCTTCCGCTTCTTGTGGTCTTAGACTCGGAAGTCTTAGCCTCTGTAGTCTTGTTTTGACTGCTTGCAGTTGGTGCTGCGAAGTTGCGCAACTGCCGCTTTGGCTTCTCATCTGGTACCTGCTCGTCTGCAGCTTTGCGCTTTCGCGTGGTCGCATTTGTGGTCGGAGCAGACGAAGGTACATTCTCTTTTGCTTGAGTCATCGTAGGCTTAGGTCTGGTGGCCTTTGTCGTCTCAGGCCTGGTCTTGGCTGGCGGAATGGTCTTTGATTTCGCTGTGGGCTTCTCATTCGCGATCCTTGATTTCGACTGTGACACTGCTGATTTGCGTGTCGAGGTTTTAGACTGAGTAGAGGCAGTCGAAGATCTTTGGGCTTCTTGCTTGCTTCTTTTGTGATTGGGACCTTCGTCTAGTATGGATCCAGTGGTCGCTTCATCTTGTTTGACTTCCTCGGATAGAGGGTGTTTTCGCTTTTTTCCGGTTGATTGTGGCTCAAGCAGTGCTTCGATGGATGGTTCTGAGGATTTGGGGGCAGCAGGTGGTTCGGCTGCTACGCTGTCTTTTGGTGAGGAGTCGTCAGACGCGCCAGGCGTGACATCTCCTTGCTCTTCGTCATCGTGATCTTCGTCCAATGAGACGCCCTGACCAGAAAGCCATTGTCCCATCGTCGAATCACCACCTTCTTCGCTTACTTGGTTCAACATGTTTGATGTCAAGCTTTCAAGGAGTTCATCTGTACCGGCACCGTTACCACCTGCCAGCATCTGCATCATGGCTTCCATCATTGCGGTCTGATCTTTGCCAGCCATACCTGAAGCGGAGAGTCTTGCGGCGAGTACAGACTTAAGCATTTCCGGGTCGATGTCCTGCATACCCAAGCCCTCCTCTTCATCTTCATTTTCATCCACCTCTTCCTCTTCCTCATCACTTTGACCCGATCCGTCATCTTCTCCTGACATATCTTCCCACTCGTTGTCTTCTTGCTCGTCTATGGCGGAATTCGTAGCGGCGTGGGATGTAGTGAAGACAGCGGGTCGATCTTTCAGGAGTTGTTGCCAATTTGGCAAAAGCGCGTAGGGTTGTTGTGGTTTTTCGTAGACAGGGCGTTGTTGACGTAGGCTGAAAGCGTCATGCGAGGACTTCCACAGGACAGTCGGGTAGTCTTGAATACCGCGCAATCGAATCTTCCTGATTGTATCTTTGATGTCGGAAGCCTTGGATCTTTTCTTCTTGTCGGGTTTGGATGTGTGCCCATCATGGGCCATCTCTTGATCATAGATTTCGGCGTTGCCGTATTCGATCTCGGACCAGAAGTTGTAGTTGTCGTATTCGTCAAGTTCGTCATCGCGGTAGTACAGGGCAGGCGCTTCGGCTATGGCGCCAGAAGCAAGTTCATCCTGGACACAGTGTGAGCGCTGCTTTATAGTACACTGTTAGATGCGACATACGGCCAGGTCATAAGCACCTGCATCAGCGTAGATGTAATCATCGTCGTAGTCGTATACGTCGCAGTCGGAATCATAGTCGACCTCGTAGCCTCCAGACATGGTCGAGGTTGTGCGATGGTGTGGATGGTTGAGGCCGGGCGAGGATGATGTCAATCAGATTGGGGAAAGAGATGGTAGGATGATGGGATGCTTTGAGACGGTCGGGAACAAAGGAGGGTCGGTGCGTCAGGAATGAGCTGGCCCAGCTGTGCTGATAGGCGACGTACAAAGTCGATTGTCTGGTACTGGTACTCTCCCTTGACCATCTAGACTGCATTCGTCTGCAATGGGTAACCCGCAACCCAGAGACTATTCGTTATGCGCCAAAAGTCACGAGTACGACTATCTTGAATCGAACCTGTAAACATTGCCCCACACTTTTCGTTCTTTCCGTTTAGCCGACCTTGAACCCTGACTGTTTTTCGAAGGGACTTTTTAACCAACACAACTTTCTACATATCTAGTAAATATGCATAGCCGCTTCTAGCCATCTGCTTGACGAGCCTTGGTATCCCTTCGACGCTCGAGGTCATGGAAAGCTTGACGGGTCCGTTCAACCTCCTCCCCGATTTTGTCATCGACGAACCGCTGCATGTAGCCGCCCCATCAATGTGACATGTGATGATGAGCTGACAGCCGCGGCTCACTCTGCATAACACTCGCCTTAACACGTACGCTGCGAAAATTACCTAACGCTCGGGACCACAACAATGAATTCTTTACAGTCATCAAGGGTCACTTGAGTCGACAATTTGAAGTCGAGATTGGAATAAGGTCATGATCTATTCGTGTCTCGTAAGACTATTATTGATGCTGATATATGCAAAATTTGTCCCCTTTCTCCTTTAAACCAAATATCTGAATCCCTGTCTCATGCGTAAAGCCTCGTCAGGGCTGTCCAAGAACTCCTTCTCAGCAGTGTGCTCAGCGACATCAGGTTTGGTGGCCCACGCAGCAGCCTCTCCTGCCTCGAGCTTCTTGTTCAGGCTGACGAGAATCATCTTCATGATAATGCAGCCCACAACCGTGACCCCAAACATTGCTGTCACGATACCGTACGACTTACGGTACCCATTCTCGGTGAGGTCCCATACGTATGAGCCGGCCACGTTTCCTAGCTGACTGAATGCGTTGACCAGAGCAATTGCGACGGCACGCTTGGCAGGTGGGCGTGGGAAACTGGACGAGATCCACGAGTAGAAGACGATGAAGCCTGCATAGGATCCTGCCTGTAGGAAGAGGGCAATATAGCGGCCGGCGGTGTTCAGGGTAGACATGTTGATGATGAATCCTATGAGACCCATACAGATGGGTCCCACAATGTGCCAGAATTTCTCCTGAGTTCGATCGGCGTGCCAGGCGTTGATCAGAGACACAATACAGGCGAATACCCATGGGGGAGCGCTCATAAGCAGGGTGGGAACGTAGCCGAAACCCAGAGTCTTTGTGAGAGAGGGGAAGAAGGCATTGAAACTGAGGCCAACGACATAGGCGGTGAGGGTGAACATCAAGACATAGATCTTGGGATCCCTGAGAGCCATGAAGAGACCAGTGAATACGCCATCTTCATTGCTATCCTCGTCGGCCTCTCCAACATCTTCGATCATGCGGAGCTGAGCGACTTGCAGTTCTTCTTCGGTGAAGCCACTCGAGTTATGAGGCAAGTCTGGCAGTACGAAAGCAGCAGTAATAGCGACTCCCATCGTCACAGCTCCTTCGATCCAGAACAGCCAACGCCAAGCAGCGTGACCTAGTGTACCTTGCATGTTCGAGAGAACACCAGCACCAACAAGAGCTGAGAAAGCGTTCGAGATGAGGTTGCCACAGAAGAGAAGAGCGTTACGCTTGGTCAACTCGCTGCGAGTGTACCACTTTGACAAGATGAGGAGGGCGCCGGGCAGGAAGGCAGCTTCCACAAATCCTAGGCAGAATCTTATGGCCACCATGCCACCGAAGCCTTGGGCGACTCCGGAAAGTGTTGAGATCAGGCCCCAAAGAAGCATGGCGGCGCCGATGTACCAACTCGGTTTCGTGATGCGGTTAATGATGATGTTCGAAGGAACCTATCAAGAAGTTAGACTGCTTCTGGTTGTTATAGCACTGTGAAAAACGTACCTGCATGAGAATATATCCAACATAGAGGATACTCAAACATGTGGCATATTGTGTATCGCTGAGCTTCAAGTCCTGTTGCAGCCCCTTCAATCTGGCAGCAGCCATGTTGTTGCGATCGAGGTAATTCATGATATAAATCAAGATGAATAGCGAACATCTTGCATCGAGTTTCCGCTTCATTGATTTCTCGACAACCTTGCGACGTTCTGGGTCCATGGGTGGATGTTGACTGTGGAAGGCCTCAATCGGCGACTTCTCGGCGTCGAAGTGGTCGCTGCCACCCTTCTTCATGTCGTCGTTCATGGCTGCACGAAGGAATCCAAGGTCCAGTGAGAGACAGAGAGCCATTCATGCCTGAGGGGCCTCTCTTATTTATGTGACTCCCATGGGGCCCCACGTAGCGGCGACCCCGATACCCCAATCACTATTCCCCGGCACATCGCCCCATATCGATCCACCTTTCTTGCTTGGCCTGAAGAAAAGATGGAGGAAAACACGGCATATCGTGGTCGACGTTCGGATAGTGTAGGATTAGTCCCGACGCTGTGACCACTGCCTGGGGTCACTGTGGCCCTGTCACCCTCAAAACTGCAGGCATGATCGGAAAATCAGACTCCCTGAGGAGCAGCACGTTGTCTGAATCAAGCCCTAAAAATCCGAGATCATCCGCTTGTAGCGATGTCACTTTTTCAAGCTCGTGGTTTTCTTGTGCTTGCGCTACAACAGAGAAGTTTGGCGGACATTCGGGCCGTGCGCCTGCTTTCGATGCCGATCTCTCAATAGAATGCAACATCACCAGAGACAAGGATTTGTCTGAGACTTCTTGAGTAGTATTTTCATAAGCTACTCGACATGCACAAGGTTCTTGTTGATACGCCTGGGAGGTCAGCCATCCTGTGATGGATCTTGCAGAACCAACGACTATCGATCCTCTTCAAACATGCTGAGCTCTTGACAATCATGCCGCACGCGCCTTCCGAAGCGGAAAGAAAGCTTGGCTAAACAGATTCTCCCGATTCTGCTGAGCATATGCTCCTTAGCCGGTCATGGATATGCACAGCTGTCAACACAAAGTTATGAAAAGCTTCAACGCGTTCCAATAATACCAACGGGACTTCTCGGCATTGCGTCTTGGTTCATGACATCGTCAGCTCGTCAATTCTGATTGATTATCTGTAGTATATCGACGCCATGTCTCCGCAGCCACTCAGTATCATCGGTGCAGGTCTAGGTGGTGTGACGCTTGGAAGAGCACTTCTGGAACGAGGCATACCCGTCGTGCTGTACGAACGCGCGACCTCATCACCCAGACATGGCTATGGCATCAGCTTGCACGCGTCCACCTACAAGCCCTTGTTGAAGATGCTGAAGATGGACGAGCAAACATTCAGACAGAGTGTCGCGGTTGACGCTGCGATTGGCGGGAATGGCGCGATCGACCCCAAGAAACTAATATGTCCTCGCGACGTGACCTCCACATCATTCCGCGCCCATCGCGAGAGACTGGAAAAATTGATCCGCAAAGGCCTTGATATCAGATGGGACTCTGGGTTAGAGAAGCTGGAACAGACACCAAACGGTACGACTCTGTACTTGCAGAACGACACCAGCATAGAAGGTCAGACGTGCATGGTTGGCGCCGATGGTGTTCACTCTCTCACGAAGAAGTCAATCTTGAGGGAAGCCGGTCTCGAAGTTCTACCTTTCGTCACTTTCAATGGAAAGAGAAAAGTGAGCAGAAGCACTTTTGACGACATCTATGCTCCAGCCATGGGAGGATCCAATATTGTTGAGATCCACAACGATGGGGTGTTCTTACAGGTCTCTGTCAACGATATCACAGCTGAACAAGCCAGTGTGAGTTGGGTGTATTCACGTCCAGCTCAAGGAACCAGCGATCATTGCTTCAAGCCTGATCGACCGCAGTCTGGTGCCTCTGACATTCCGAAGGAATTTTATCGAGAAATCAGTGCTCTACAAGGCCTGCCCCAACCATTCTTGGAGATCTTCGATGAGCATAAGATAGAACAGGATCGTGTCTTGGCTTGGTTGATGCGTACATCCAAAGTCGACCTTACTCAACTCTACCAACTTGCATCCAATGGCATCTTCCTCATGGGAGACTCCGCACACTCTCAAGCAATTCTTGGTGGAGAAGGAGCAAACATCGCGATATCTGATGGATTGACACTTGCTGAAGCGATCGCTGCGCGAAATGGCGAGACCATCACATCATGGTACAGCAAACGTTTCCCAGATTGGCAGCAGAGCCTGGAGAACAGCAAGACGACGATTGAGGATATGCACAAGGACCAGGCTCCTAAATCCAAGGTCTAGATGCAATTCTTCACACGATTGAGGATGCCGTACTCTATCGTAGATGGGTACAACGGGCCGTGAAATGATCGCTCTGTCGTGTTCGGACTCTGGCAAAACAAGCAATACAGCATGACAGCAAACACCACTTACTGCTCTTTAAGAGTCAAGTCACGTCTTGTTGTGCCGTTGTTATGCTCTGTACCGCTGGCCTCCTCCCCACACATCTCGCACAGAACAAAAGCATAGACGTTGTTCGCATCAGCTTTGTCGTGATACACTATTCTGTGTATAGGCTCAAGCGTTCATATGTGTGATGCTACAGCAGAACTCAATTGTCTTGCGGCATAGGCAAAAAGAAAAAGATAGCTAAGCTTGGTTTCGATCCAAGGTCCTCCGGGTTATGAGCCCGGCGCGCTACAACTTGTTAGTATTGAGTAATAGGGAGTGAGAGTGGGAATATTACGAACCTTCCGCTGCGCCACTCAGCTTTTTCATCTTGGCAGAGAGCCGCTTTTCACCTCAGCTTTGGAGGTGAAAATTGCGTTGGTTGGCACAATTATATAGTTTCTGGTCATGGACGGCGGTGGGCTTCATTCGACCAGAGTCAAAGGCGTGGAGCAAATCGAAATCGAAATCTCAGACAGCGAATCTACAGTGAATGATTCATGGTCTTCAACAGCGGACACACAACTCGCATAATCACACTTATAGAGGCTGATGTACTTCTCAGCTCTGATAATTCGTTCAGTGAGGCATTGTGGGCTCGGTAGGTTCGTTATACAAGGGTGAATAATAGGCTCGGCTTCACCACGGCATGACTCCAGTGTGTATATATCATAGATTCGGGCAGTTAATGTGTAGAAGTGAGGCATCTCGAATCTTACCTGCTCACCGTTGCTATATAGCACTTACTTCTGCATTCGTTATCAGGTTTGGCCACTGACGGCACCTGAATAAACAGCAATCGAGCGGTGCGACGGAGCATGAACAGTTAGGGTCGCCCTGGATCAAAAGCGTTGTGAAATTTCAGCTTTGGCCGGTTGGACTTTCCTCCTCCCATCCTTACCGATCAACCAGTCACAAACACACCTTGAGCGATGTCACAGACTTACAATTGGCAAGCAGCCTCGGCGAAGGAAGCGCGCCTCTCCGTCAATTCCCAGAGTCGTTCTTTCATATGTTCGAACGTTACACACATGGCAAAATCCGGACCGATATACTTTCATCTGTACCGAAACCACCTCTTCCGGTAAGCGAAGCGACTCGATTGAGACAACGGTACCTTTTTCCAGAACGACCAAGACGAACTTTCTGCTTGTAGAGAAGTCGCTATACACACAGACCGAGGCAGTCACGCCGCGTAAACTTCGACAGAAGCCATAAAACCGTTGGCGATCGTCTTTCTTTTAGGACTACACTTACTCGTAACTTCTTCTATATTGAAACGTCGACGTGGACTGCCGACCTTGGCCCAAAACGACTGGCGTTTTGTGTGTACTTTACTTGGTGGAATATACCTTCAGCGACCTGTGGCGTCGCGGCGCCTGGAGGAAGAGTCCTGAAAGGAGAGAACGTTGGAGTCACCCTCTAGCCCTGAGGCATCCATTCGAGAAAGACCTGCACCCTACTCGTGTAAGGGCATCACGTTTTGTCAGCACAATACGAGTATGAGGCAGTGCCGTCATCGCAGACTCCCCTGCTGACAAGCCTTTGGTTGAGGCTGCGACACCATGAACTTTGGTCGCACCAAACAGGCAACCCGTCATTTTCACCATACAACAATAAGCTCTTGGAGTGACAAAACACGACAGATCATCTCAAATCATGATGGAAGTTGTAGACGGGTATCCAACTTTCACGCTTCACAGGTGCAAGGTGCACAAATGATCCTGCAATGACTTTATATACAGATAGGGGGCCTTGTGCCCAAGACTCATCACATGCAAGAACACAAGAGCCATCGGACTCTCACTCTTGTTTGGGCATACGCGCTACATCGTACGTATGTATGTGTCTACTTTCGAGACTCGAGAAAATCCACCGTTGAGTCGCACCGTTGAAGTGGACTATCGTCCAACGGTCAGGATTTCATGAACTCTTCACATGGGTTGGTCCGGCCGTTCGAACGTTCTGTCATTGCCGAGTCACTCATAAGATTGCATGGCTGTCCCGGAGATTGAGCCAGCTGTAACTACTGTTCTTCTGTTTGTCCAGGTGTCGATCTTCTACATACCGGACAAGCCTCCACTCACAGCACTGGCTCAGCACAAATGGCGTCCGCTGCGTCGGCAGTGCCTAATCCAACACCTTGCATTGTCTTTGACTCTAGAAAGGCCGGCCTTATCAGCATAGTCGAAGAAGAGTTACCGACAGAAGAAGTCTCGCCGTCAGAATTACCTAAATGGCGGAAGGTTGACTACTTCGGCGACTCAAAGACTTGGGATGTTAAGAATGATGGCGTCAAATCAGCTTTTGGTCCTGGGTGTCCGTTAGCGCCGACTTCTGGATGCAGCTCACCCAAGGCGTCTCCTAGCCTTGCCTCTCCGAAAATCGCCATGACAGGATGGGGGATGGTTCCACCACGTCATGCCTCACCTCTCGGATTTGACTCGTCATACTCACCTGCTAAGTTATGGACACAAGCACCACAAACATTATGTCAGCTATCATCTGTGATTCCTGACATATCCGATGATGAAGCATCACGCCATGGCTCGATTGCTGGACTTGAGATATATCTACGAAAGCCATCCATTATTCAGACCCAAGTTGAGAAATTTAACGGCTCAAAAGCTGATATTGAGGTTCTGGTCAACGAGGAGTCGGATGTTTTGGGGCCTTTGCACTCTCCGCTGACCCCTTTGACACCATCTATTCGCACATCAGCATCACCTAGAGCGTCTTCAGAATGCCTCGGAAGAGCATCCTCCGATGAAGACCAATTTGCCAACAACGCAACCAGACCCAAGCTTTTACATCTGAGTCCCTCTAGTGTTTTCAAGAATTCGTTTTCCTTTGGTCAAGGATCTAAAACACGCAAGGAGAGTGGTACAACTCCAGACCCCATGAGTATGGAGGGTGGCATCCAGAGACCATCTTCTGCCCGTGTAAGCTTTGGAAGCAGCGTTATACAGGACAACACAGAGGATGTGATGCTCGTCAATCCTATCACTGGCGAACGCAGGATGTCTGCTATCAGAACCGCTTCAGCAGGAGAACAATTGGCTCTACCTAGTCTATTGCGGCGAAGTTCTTCTGGTACTACAATGTACACACTGGTCAGGAGGGACTCACTGCTAGCGAGTGGATCCCGTACACCATCCACCGCATCAAGGCCCAGTCTTTCAGCAAGGAACTCATCAACACGATCATCTCGAGATGTCAGACCTATACCATCTGCGTGCAGCCCTAATCTTCGGACTTCATCTTCAGCGGATGATCGACACAATCGTCAACAGTCAGCTTCGACACGAAATATGTCTAGTGCTTCGTCGGCTCGTGCGATGTCAACTACACGGACCTTGTCTCATTCTTCTTACGCCCGCACAATGTCTAGTGCGCGAACTGCATCTACGTGGTCGCGAACGATGTCGACCTTTACAAGAGCTTCTTCGACAACTTCCACATCACCTTTTGACTTAGAGTCTGTGCGCGACGATTACAATAGTTGTACGCAGACACAACGGACACCCTCACTCCTTGTTCCATTGTTCGGCCACTTTCAGTGGAACAAGACAGACTCTGCTGTAGTCCTTCCCATGCAAGAACTCGAGCCCGCTTACCAAGAAGCATTGGCAGACGTGGCAGAAGACCCCGACTTTGTCGAAGTCGAAATTAAGCCGAAATCAGGATCAATAACCAGAAGAGCATCACTATTCGCCAACATCTTTACCAACAAAGATGTTGATGTGGACCCCGACCTCAAATTTAAGCCTTCCGCATCTGAGGTCGAGATCAAACAAGGGATCGCAGATGCTCAAAAAGAAAGAAGCCAGCGAAAAATGGTCTATTCGCGCAATGTTACAATAGTCTCACTGGCAACACTTAATGCAGTCTGCATCGCATTGTCATTTGGGCTCTTCAGCGTCTGGTACGCTACTGCTCCTCTGATATTAGTAGCGCCTCTGCTTAAGTCAACTATGGTACTGGATCTGTTCATCAATGATGCATACGAGAAAGCAAAGCTTTTACTTAGCCCTGCGGAAGAAGAGTCGATCCCTATCATGGATTACGCGACCGCTGTGTCTTTTTCCAACGAAGGTTTCGAAGATATCCAGAGCACTCTTGATTCATTGGTTGACCAGAAAGACGTGGACATGCACAAGAATCTACTGCTCATTTCGTGCAATGACAACGTATGGCACAGCGATGACGCCAAATCGACCACAAGGATCATACTTGAAAACATTCTCACCAACATTGTCGATGAAGCAAAGTTTCGGATGCCGCGTGATGGTCCGGACGCTGACTTTGACAACATGTGGTGTCGCAGAGGAATATATAAAGGGGTGCCGTATGTTTTGATGATCAAAGAAGGCACGCCTAACAGAAAAGAATTTTTTGACTTGATCCGAAGCTTACTCCACGCATACAACCTCCGCAAAGAGTCGTACTATAACCCAGTACCTTCTGCTTTCTTCACTTGGTGCGAAGAATGGGCTGAGTTGCACGACTTTGCGTCTTTCGACTTTCTGGTGAATGTTAACTCGGAGACTTTGCTCGATGAGCACTGCATCTCGCACCTGTATCAACAGATGTTGAAGAGCCCTGCTTGCACCGGAGTTTCAAGTCGCGTCGAGGTTGATTCTCACTCCTCGAGATGGGGTGTCGCAAACCTCTTCAGCAACTCGCAACTCATGTATGGCCAGGTTAGGCAGTCTCACCAAACACAGATCATGCACAAGGCAAGCGTAAGTCCGAGTGCTTGCCAAATGCTCAGAATCTGTGAAGAGACCTGTGGTCCGCATGTTTTGAAGGAAATCAAAAAGCATCGGCCTTCTCCTATGGACAATATGGTGACACAGATCTGCTCATCCACAGAGGAAGACGATATGATGTACGGAGCACCACAGGTGACTACCCTGCAAGCTATTCATGCTGTCACATATGCTCGTCCATCAACCACTCTTTCCGAATTCATATTGCAGCGTCAACAGTTTGCATTCTCGACTTGCGTCACGAATCTTGCTATACTCTGCGACAATCAGATGCATTGGTTCGAGAGACTATCCTCTGCCGTCGACTTGCTGGCATGGTGTCTCCCCGCCTGCTCTCTCGCCATTACCATCAACTTCCTCAGATCTGCTGTACTCCAACAACACATACCAGTTTTGATTGTGCTTAGCGCCATCGTTGCATTGCCATGGACTTATGCCGTCGCATCTGCAATGTGGCTGGCTCGTTCTTGGGAAGGACGATTGCGCTATTTACTCGGCTTTTGCATTTTGGCGTTTACGGGTCCTATTGTTGCGGTCATTGTTTTCGTTTCCACAGTTTTCAACTTGCACCGTCTTCGACCGGAACAACGCAAGCGCAGGCGTTCTTCTGCTATCACCGTACAGATTCAGCGTTCTGATGTTTGAGTATTTCTCACAAAATGTTTTTCATTTCCATTTTTGTGTTTGTTTTTCCTAGATACCCCTTTGTTCAGCTTGCTTGTAAAAGTATCGTTCGACTATCTTCTCGTTTTTAGAATTGAATCACCTTTGAACCATTGATCGATGAGCATCATGATTGTACTTCCTTGATAAGCGCTGTGCTTGAGGACAACACCGTCGCGCTCTGATTTGATCCGAGCACCTGACTGAATTGGGTTTTAGATATTTCCATGTGTCTGTCTCTCATCACCGCCCTCGTACAAACAAGCTGATCGGATTGCAAAGGAAAAAGAAAAAAAAAAAAAGAATAAAAAGGAAAGCGCAAAGATGCCAAGCCAGGCTTCAAATGCCGCAACGCCCTGCAATTTCGAGGTCTGAAAAAAGTTTTCAGCCACCACAACCAAAAAAATGATTGAGATGATGGAAGAACATCCTCGTCGAGCAAAAGAAGATGTGATGGTCAGTACGGGGGTCGAACCCGCGACCTTG